CAGCAAGAACTTACACCAGATGAACTTGCAGAGACACTTATGTCTTTTGCACGAGTAGGTCTTGCAAAGTACAACATTTTTGAGGAACTTACATTGCGTGCACTTGCTATGGCGCCTACTAGTCCGCTCATGCCGTTAGCTCATATAACTGTGGCGTACGCTATTGTGGGCTGCCGCCATGAAGAACTTTTTTCGATTATTGCGGATCGTTTTGTGAACCAAAAAGCAGACATACCTGCAGTGACCATCGCGTCTGTGCTCAGTGCCTTTGCCTCTATTGGTATCCGCAATGATCGACTATTTATTGAGTCTATCCCACGAGTGCGTCATGTTGGTCAATATGGAACTCCCAAAGACATTGCAAATGTGGTTTACGCCTATGCGCAGGTTGGGTTGTGGCATTATAAGCTGTTTGTGCGATTGGCAGATCGTGCCATTCAATTACGTGGCGAATTTCGATGCGACCACCTTGCACGTCTGCTGGAGGCGTACGCACGTGTGGATATGCGCTACGAAAAGCTTTTTGTTGAATTTTCTCCACGCGTCCAGACCATTGCGCACTTGCTGACAGCCGGAGAGCTGACAAGGATTGTTACCGCTTACGCAAAGGTACGTATACCCGATGTTGGGATCTTTAACGCTTGCGGTGATCGTGCAGTGGAAGTGGCGAATTCGTTCGAGCCGGATGAGGCGCAGCAGGTATTGATAGCTTTTCGATCGACAAGGAACAATCATGATGGCTTAATGGCATCCTTTGCAAAGAACTTCCCAGAGGTTGTGGCGGCACTGCCGCCGATGGAAGCGGAAGCGGGGGAGGGAGCTGCCACTGCAGCGCAGGGAAAGGACGAGGAAGTAGAGGGAGAAGGCGTCCGCATCGGCGTCGTTGGCGCGTAAAGAAAAGGGTGGCATATTTGTTGAGCTTCTTTTGATGGGTGTTTAGTCACATTTAGTGAATTGCATTTATTGGCTGGCTGTTGCCGTTGTTTGTTGTGGCAGAAGCGGGGATGGACGGCGTGCGGTGCGTGAGTGCTAATCGGACGATTCTGCCTTGTGTGCTTCCGTTAACTGCTGGAAGAGAGGGAAGAAGAGAAATTGTAAAAAAGTGTGATTGTTGGCCCAGTTCCCAAAGCACCTCCCGTGTTTCTTGCCTGCGGCTGGTTTTTATGTTCCTCGATCATTCTTGCTGTTTGTTGGTTTATTATTATTATTATTTTTCTGTTCATTATTATTAACTGCTGGGCTCTCTATTAACTCGGATACACTGATCCACATCTTGTTAACTACACCCCTCTCGTTTCCCCCAATGTTTTTTTTTTGTATCCCTCTCTTTCTCTCTCTCTCGCTCTCTTGTTTGGTAGTGCGTTTGTGCAGTGTCTGGCTGACGTGGGCGTGGGAAGCGTAAGGCGTGCCAGCAATCCATATGAGGTGCGGTACTGAGAAGAAGTTGAAGGCCAAACAAAGGCGTCCCGTTGCGGTGGCTCGGTTTCTGAACATGATTTCGCTGGACGACCGTCATGCGGCGACAAATGCGCTGCTTCTTCTAGGACTGCATGCGTACAAACAGGCTATCGCGGAGGCACCTGCGGAGCTTCATATGCTGCGCTCCGTTGTGGACACGTTGCTCAGAAACGGGGACGACAATGAGTCTAGGCCTAAGACGGAGGAGATGAAAGTGAATAATGACGAAAAAGTGAACGACACATGTGTGACGTGCAAGCTGCATTTGTTGGGTAATGCCAAAATGGTGCTTCCTCTCCATTCACCCCTGGGCGACGTTACGGCACCGCTAGCGTCATCGTCGTATGGAGAAAAGTTCACGAAGGTTATTGGTGTGAAACACGAAATGGGATCAAGTAACAGTGTCAGTGCCACCACCAGACTACTGCCTAAGGAAGAAACACCACAGTCAAAAGTAGAATTGGCTCCAATTGATATTCAAGGAATACCCAATATGGGGTATTTTCACTCAGCGAGTTTAAGTGGGGGCTGTTACCGTTGTAGTTTTAGCTGTAGTTGTAGCAATAGTAGTTTTGGGGCCGCAACTACTGTAAACAAAAAGAGATCGTCCCAGTACCTGGCCTTGGATTATATATTGAACGAGGCCTTTAAAAATGTCGTGCTGCCCTGGTTTAGGGCCAATGGTGCAGAGGCAATGGGAAGCTCAGCGCTCGGATCCACCAGTGCGTTTGTGGAGAATGACAGGTCAACCAAACAAGATTCTATGCCCCACAATGTTGGCGAGAGTGATGGTGACGAGCAGCGTAATTTGGCTGATCCCATGGTTAATGACTCCGTCAACAGCACAGTCGTCCCTCCTTCTTTGTACGGAGGCGATCAATACTATTCACTGGGGTTTCTCCAACAGGTAATTAGGCACATTGAGGACACCCGTGGGGCAAGGGAGAATGTCATTGTGGTTGCGTCTTCCATTCCACAGTCTATGGCTGCCTACACGCTTCACACCAGTTTTGCCGACCTCTATTTAGGTTTACTGGCCTCCTACCATTTCTCATTCAAGGATGACAAGAACACATTGCACAACCATGCGCAATAGTATCTTTCATTCGTTTACTTTTGTTGTGTTGCGGGTTCCTCATGCTTTTTACTTTTTAATGTGTATTCACCACTTACCTGCTGCCGAGAACAAGGGATACAAAAAGCGATCTTGCGGGATTAGGCATTGCAAATGCTTTTTTTTTTGTTTCGTTTTGGTTTTGCCTTTTTGCAACGTCAATGTATGTGTGTTTGTGTGTATGTGTTTGTATACGAATTTGCAAGAACAACACAGTCCTAAACAGCTGCACAGGGAAAGATGCCTGAGGGTGCTCCAGTAGGTGGATCCAGCACCCACAGTCTAACGTTTGTCACTGGCAACGATGGAAAACGCAAAGAAGTGCAAGCATGTCTTGAGGGGTACGTCGTTGTTGAGAATATCAAGTTAGATCTTACCGAGATACAAAGCAACTCGGTATTTGAAATCAGCAGAAATAAAGCACTCAGAGCATACGAAATTGTCAAACGTCCAGTACTAGTGGAAGACACCGCGCTCCACTTTGACGCACTGGGAGGGCTACCAGGTCCGTATATTAAGTGGTTTCTTGAAAGTATGTCTCCTGTAGGGCTTACCAAACTTTTGAAAGGGTTCGACACTCGGCGGGCGTACGCTCTCTGCGTCTTTACCTACTGCGCGGGAGCGGATATGGTGCTGCAGTTTGAGGGGCGATGCGACGGCACGATTGTGGAGTCACCTCGCGGGAAGCATGGCTTTGGCTGGGACTCTGTCTTTGAACCGGACGAGGGTGGTGGGCAAACCTATGCGGAAATGCTGGTCAATAAGAAGAACCAAATATCACACCGTGCAAGGGCCCTTGTGGCGTTAAAAGCGTACTTTTGTCACTAATTGTCTTGTATTTTTGGCCTTACTGTTGTTTTTTCTATCCCAATGGCATGTACGCCGTCTTATCCTTCAGTCTGCGTATATAGGATAGGTGCGCCTGTCCGTTGCTGTGTACTGCGGGTAGATGTTGTTTGCTTTTTTGTGGAGGTAGCTAGGGACGTTTTCCGCTAGGAGGGGATGCACACACAATTAGCTACAGCAAGAAGGGGAAACTAGGACGGTGACGCTCAAAGAAGAAACATGCATTACGGCTCTTTTCGTCACGCCCCTACTGCAAGTGGGACTCTGCTTTATTTTGCGCAGAGTTCTGCAACGCTCCTCAACACGCGTACAAACACAAGCTCTGCATGGAAATGCACAAGACAGAGCTTCATGCATTAACCGTCACGGTGATGACTGACGACGCCGTGGCCACTTACGGCATGTAATGAGACGTTGGTTGTTTGCTGTTATTCTTGCTGCTGCAGTTTTTTTTCTTTTTTAGCATTCCCACTTTCCGCTCTCTCTAATATGTGCCTTGTTTTTGTCCAGTTTTGTTTTGACTCACTATTGGCTTCTTTACTTTCCTGGGGGCATGTGCGTAACTGCCCTTCTTTCTGAACGCGGGCAGACCCTCGCCCAAATCAACAAGGAAAGAATTGCGGCCGAACGTTGGGGGGAGCGAAAGAGAAGAGTGACAAAAAAAAAGCGATAGGGGCGTGTGCATCACATCGACAGGACGGAGAAAAGTAATGTTTTCTGTATGTATGATGCAGCCGAAAGTGCGGAACCAGCGTGGTCTAGGGTCAACGTGGACGGTGCCGAGCAGTTCCGGAGACAAAGGACGGACTACGGTAGTAGCGTCCTCCGATGGCGGCAGCCAGAGAGCTCGACAGCGATCACTCGAACTGCTCCGCCCACCGCCCATTCAATTACCAAAGTGAAGGTGCGGTGTACGGAAAGCATATATATATATATATACATATATATATATATATGACGGTCTCTGCCCGGTGTTTTCAGTTTTAGTTTTTTTCTTTGATAGCTTTGGAGTGTAATCACGTAATCTTTTTATGGTTCTATGGGGAAGAAAATTAGTGAGGAGTTGGTCAAGAGTGGCGGGGTAGTGTGAGTAATGCTTACTGTCCCGACTGCTGTTAGCAATCAGATTAATCTGGAACGACCTTTTTTTTTTGCAAATTTATTTGAAGATTCTACTTTTTTTCGCATAGTTGTCTTTAATTGATATGACTGTTTTCGTGTGTTCTTTACCGCATCTGCATTTATTGCTTGGGGTTGGGGTGAAGCGAGGAACGTGACGAGCAAAAGACGTTTTGTTTCTGCTTTATTTTCTTGTTGCCGAGTCCACTGTTTGCCTACAAAGATAGAGAGAAAAGTGAGTTTTTCCATGTGAACGAGAAAAACTGAAAAATTATGAGAGTAATAGGAAAACAAAAAAAAAGCGGGAACAGAGAAAATATGACGTTTACACGCGCACAAGGAACGGATGAAGGGCCCTGCCTAACATGCAAGGCCATGAACAGAGTGAGTTTGCTAAACGGGAGTCAGGGGGATAACTAAAAATAAAAATGACGAACAATACCAATGATGTTTCTCTCTCTGTATATATATATATATATATATCTGTCCGTGTCCGTGTGCGTTTTGGGCATCGTCCCCACCTTAAGGTATACTCCCGCAATTTATTTGAGAAAAAGTGCGATAAAAATGTGGCTTTGCTGCGGCATGCGGTGTGGGCTGAGGTCTCTTATCATGCTGTGCCTCCTACTGCTGTTTGTGGCTGCAAGGGTTGGCACAGCTTCGTTTGTGGCAGAGTGGAATCCAGAAACCGCGGTGGACGAAGAGACATACTCGGCCCAGCTGGCCGCGCTGCCGCAGTTTGATGCCACGGGCTGGACGAAGAAAGCTGATTCCCGCTGCGGCGTCGAACCTGCTTTCCCCGTCAACCGGCAAGTACTTGTAAAGGTGCAGACAGCCACGGGGGAGCGTCAATTTGTGCTGTATATTCCTGCGTCCTACACGCGACGTGGCAACTCAAAGGTTGCACTTCAACTTCTTTTTCATGGGCTAAGTGACAGCTGTGGCGGCTTTTTGAACGCCACCGGCCTTGTGGAGTACGCAGACCGAGATGGATTCATCGTGGCAAGCCTCTGCGGCTCTCGTGGACTTGTCGGCGTCGGGTGGAACTCCGGCACGTGCTGCGGATTCCTAGTGCCCGATCGCCCTGACGACTTTGAATTTACCGAGAAGGTTCTCGATGTTGTCGCTGCCGGTGCGTGCATCGACCGGACAAAGGTGATGGCGGTTGGTTTCAGCAATGGGGCCATGATGGCAGAAGTGCTTGGTTGCGAGAAACCAAAGTTGATCCGCGCAGTTGCGTCAGTCGGTGGTATTGTGGAGTTGCGCCCCGGCAATGAGGCCGGTCTTGAGGTATGTGGCCGTGACATTCGCTCCGACAACCCTGATGGCCGCCGTCCAAGCATTTTGATGGTGCACGGCAACCTAGACCTCATTGTTCCCGTGATTGGCAACAAACTACTGGGATTCCCACCTCTGAAGGATAATGTTGCTGCCTGGGCAAGCTTCAATGGATGCGGCGCAAATGCCAATGTCACCTTGAATGTAACCAAGTACACAAACGAAGTTTATACGGACTGCGACAGTGCAGCCGCGGCCTCGGAGCCTCGCATGCGGCGTTATCTGTTTCGTGCAAGAAACGTCGTTAAGGGGCGCCTTACAGGTCTTAACATGGCTTCTCTTGGCCACTCCATTGTTGAGGTTGTGCATGCACTTTACGCCGGCCATTCTTGGCCAGAGGACGGGGAATTTTCGACAAGAAACTACATTTACGAGTTTGGTAAAAGAGTGTTCTCAAGTTACTAAGTGGAAAATATTTTGGATAGAGGATTTTTTTTTAACGTTAGGATATGTATTTTGTTATTTTGCCTTTCTTTTGCGTCCCTGCGTAAGTGTTCGTGGGCACTGATGCCTCTCCGTGTGCCACTCTACTCTTTCGATCAAGACGAATTTGTATCTACGTTTCCAGGCGCAGATGTCACTCCGGAAGGTACACAAGGAGGGGAAAGAGGATGTCTAGGGCAAAGCGTTGTGTGCATCATAAATATATGATGCCTTTGTGTTGTTGTTTTCATGTGGGCTTTGTCAAGTTAACCCGTCTGAGCAACGGATTTTATGTCGATGCAGAAGGGATAATAGCGTCAGCAGCGGCATGAAAACCTTTTTTTTTTTTATTCTTCTTTATTTTTTTTTTATTTTCTTGTGACTGATGAGCCACCGGCATACACAAACACACAAACAGCGCTCAGCTGCAAACAAGAGAGGATGCCCAAGTCGAAGCGTGCCAAGATTGTTCCGCTCACAAAGACGCGTGCCAAGACGCGGGACGACAAGGACAAGCTCATCAGCCGCATTCGCGACGCCCTTGACGAATACACGGACGTGTACACCTTCGCGCTGTCAAATGTGCGGACAAACATTTTGCAGCAGATCCGCGAGGAGCGCAAGGGCGACAGCTGTCTTTTCCTTGGCAACAATAAGTTGATTATGATTGCACTTGGCCGTGACGAGGAAAGCTCACAGCGACCGAATCTGTACAAGCTGTGCAAGTTTATTGTGGGTTCCTGCGGCCTGCTTTTCACGAGGCTGCCAAAGAAGGAGGTGAAAAGTTATTTTGCCTCTGTTGGCGCGCAGGTGTACGCCCGCACTGGGCAAACGGCAACGAGTTCACTCGTGCTACGCGCCGGGATTCTGTCACAGTTCCCACACAGCATGTTCGACCACCTCTCTAAGCTTGGCCTACCCATAAAGCTTGACAAGGGCGCCATTGTTCTCCTGCAGGACACCACCGTATGCGAGCCCAACGACACCCTCAGTGCAGAGGCGGCCCAGTTGCTGAGGTTGTTTGGCGTACAGTCGGCGGAGTTTAGGATTGACCTGACGGCGCACTGGGCAAACGGCGTCGCCAGCAGGGTTGGCGGCAAGAAGGAGGAGAAAGTAAGTGCACAGGACTAGGTTGTTACTCCTCGATAGACACATCATAATGCGATGAAGACTGACCCCACACAACCAAAACAACAACCCACAACAGCACCGACAAAAAAAAAAAGCGGATTGAGGAGAGAAAGAAGAATGCGTGGAATGTTTCATTTTTTTTTTCCTCTGTAAAGGAAAAGTTTAACTCACTGCGTATTGTCAACGATTAAGAGAAGAACTGGAGCTGACCGGCACGTGAACAGTGAGCGGGAGGAAGAGTGTATGCCGTACGTGGGTGGTAAAGAGTCCGTTACGTCGCCCGTGTAAAAAAAAAAAACAGCAACAACAACCGTAATGAAAGAAATAAAAAACATCAAAAGTAACGACTAGAAAGAGTATGAGTGTCGCTGTTGCGATTCGCACATCCCTTCGTGGCTCCAATTTGCCTCGCTATTATTTGTGTAATCTGTTTTTTTTTTTTTCCACCGCTCCAAGTACACGAAACGAAAGGCTGGGGGCGGGAGAGGAATCACATCTGCGGCTGAGGGAAAGGCCCAAGAATAAGACAATCATCTCGCGTCTGGGGGTAGTAGTGTATTACAGTGAAGCGGGAAGGGAGGACCCAACATTGAGGACGGTTTTTTTTTTGTTGTTGTACCTTCCGCTGCAATCCAGCAACGTCAAAAGCAAAACAAAAATAATCATCATAAAACGCACCACGGTAAAAGGCAGGACGATTGAAAGTAAGCACCCAAAGAGATAAATCGGAGGCGATGGGGGACAAGGCGGCACATGCGGAGTACGAGCTGCGGAACAATGTGCTTCTCAAGGCGATCCGGCCTGGTGGACTTCTCTACGATTATGTTGAAAATGGTCCGGTGGAGGTGCTGTGTGCCCCACAGCAGTCCTTCTTGGAGTCAAGTGGTATTGCATTGTACCTGCGTCTCCCGCCACCTCCCTCTGGCAACTCAACTACCATTACCGCAACACTCACCGTGGGCGAGCAAGACGTGGTTTTGACACCAGAGCAGCATCAGAAAATAGCGCGCATCACTCGTGAAGCATTCCTTGATTATCATCTTATGCACTTTGATAGTGTTGCCTCCCCCGCCTTTGTGACGATTCGGGGGCAGCGCGGGGAGTTTTCTGTGGATCTGCAGAGTGTCGCGCGCTACGGACGCATTGGAGCTTCCGAAGTGATTTGTGATATGAGTCCTTTTCTTGAGCCCAACGACACCTCTGTTACCGAGTTCCATCCGTGTAAATTACACATTTTTGTGATTGCCAAGGCGCTAATGGATGAGGAGGAACTGCATAATACGCTTTCAGATTTGCAACGGGCTCTGCTTCCAAAGGAGCGGACTGTGATGGTGCGGCTTCAGGGCGATCAGACGCGCTGCGTGGAAGGTGCCACGGAGCCGAGACATTTGAAGGATCACTTTTCTCGAGAGGCCATTTCCAACTATCGCCGTGCCGTGGCGAAGGATAATGATGTATGCTTCAAGGAGTTTCAGGATCTTATGCGACTTCCTGCGTGTGCACCGGTTGCCAAAACGATTTCTAACTTTGTGGAAACCATCCAGCAACGAGAGGCGCCACTCTTTGACAATGCCGATCTAAAGAGGGCAACTTCGTTTTGTTTAGATCAATGCAAAAGGATACCTCTTTTTGAAAAAGATGCATCAAAGCTTCATATTGCGGCAGAAGGCTTTGAAACCTATATAATGTCGAAACTCTACTGGCGTGCCTTTGACGTGCATCCTGAGGAACGGGAGCGCAACAAGGAGTTACAGGATAAATTACTTCACTTGTCTCCGCTTGTGAAGGCTGAGCAACTGGACGCATTGGAGGAGGTCGAGAAACATCCTCTGTGGGATCAGGCCATGTTTGAGCTGGAAGGCATGAATATTTTTAAAACGCCTCGTGAGAAATTGTGTTGTGCCGTTCGAGCTTGTGGTGGACTCACAAAGGCAGTTTCCTCCGCTCTCATGCATAAAGGAAAAGGCGTTGACAGGACCAGCAATAGTACAGGCAGTGAGGTGAATTCCGTCGCATGTGGGGCTGATGAATTTCTTCCGTGTTTTATGCTGCTAGTTCTCCGCGCCTCTCCTAGGGACTATTATTTGAATGTGCAGTATGTGAAACGGTTCCGCGACAGCGACCTCATCACACTGCAGGAAAGTTACTGCCTCGCGAATTTGGAGTCGGCCGCGGAGTTTTGGCTTTCGTACACCAACTCTTTACCATGCCAAGGTCCGTCCAGCAGCCCCCCCACTCCACCAGCGACGATTATTGAGGATCTCTTTCTCTCACCTGTCACCGCTGATCCCCCAGGGCAACCCATTGAAAAGGATGAAGTGTACACCGTGCCGCAGCAATTGGGGGCGTCATCTAGGCAGCACTTGGCTCCACTTGTTGAAGAAGAATCTCTTACCTTGGGGAATGAGTTGAGTGTCGCATTGGATGGCGGGCAGGAGGGTATCAACGTGGCGAAGTTGTTGTTGGAGGAGGGTAAATCGTTTGACAACCTTACTGTGGTGGAGCTGCGTGCAATTGTTGGGGAGGCACGGCTTTTGTTGGCTGAGAAACATAAATTGGCGCGGACTGTGAAGGAGTCGTCAGAGTGAGAGTAGTTTAAACCTGTTTGGTTTTTGTTTTTGCTTTCATCTACATCTTCTTTTATCTGTTTTGAGTGGGTTGTGCTTCTTGCTATTGCCCACGTCGTCCGGTAGATATTTGTGTCCATGTTGTTGTTGTTGGCCTTTGTCGATGATGTGGTATGTGAGTGGTGTATACGCGTGTCTGAGGGGGCATGATGCTTCTTCTTTGTTTATCCATTACGTGGATGTACTCGTTGCTGAGTTTATCTTAAATTTTGTTGAATTGTTGTTGTTTTTACCCCTTCTCCATTCCTGTTCATTACAGGTGTGCCCGTCTGTGTGTGTTGTTGCCGCAGCGTTTGGCTACCGTTGTTCCTGCTTTATGTACTGTCTGACGTCTCTCTGTTCTCTTGTGTGTTTTTTTTTTTGGTGCGAAGAGGAAACACGATTCGACGTCTTTGTCTACATCCCTTAACACTCCTCTGCGCCACACGAAGAGGAATGTCCTCGGCCCAAGTTGAGGAGTTGGAGAGGCGTGCCACCGCTGCTGAGTTGGCCATTGAAGAGCTCAAAAAGAGCATGCATGCGCAGCCGCTTGGCAATGGTGATAACAATGCGGGATTGGAGTCACGTCTTCGTGAACTCTTGAAATTAATGGAGGAGGACCGTCTGGAATGTGAAGTGATTCGTGCCAAGCGGGATGAGTTAAAGGAGGAGAATGAGCGGCTGAGGTCGCAGGTTCTGAAACATGAGTACCGCATCAAGCATCTTCTTCGAACAATTAACGACATTGAGACAGGGAAGCAGCATAATGAGCGCTCATAAAAAATTTCTACAATCTCCCTTTGCAGATATACTACAAGGGGAAGAAGGAAGAGCGGGGAGAAGCAACTTGTATTCTGTGACTGTTGTGGATGTGAGTAAAGAGAAGCGGTGCGTTTATCTACGTTTAAGATGCCGGGATTATTCCCTTTTTACATTACGTAGTTCTCCTTTTTACCACCCCTAATATATCTCTGTGGTACGGTCAATGGGCTGTCATATTCCCTAATTAAGAATTACCTCTGCTCCTTTCTATATTTTTTTTTTCCTCTTGACTTATGCATCGCCTTTTTTTTTTTACTTCTGTTTTTTTCTATTTGTCCTGCCTGTACCGCTCACACGCTGCTCTGCGGACGTAGGGGAAGCCCAGAACGCAAAGGGAGGAAAACCAATCATAATGATAATCAAGTGAGGGGGCACTGGTGACAACTGCCTTGTGAGTGTTTGTGGGTTTCACTCCGTATTGCGTCCTGTAGGAAGCAAAATGAAGGGGCTGCTTACTTCAATGTGGACCTTACACCACGGCATTGTGTCTTGACAGAAACGAAGGAGCGCTTGACCAGACTAAGTGAAGAAGGCAAGTAAAAAGAGGCGAAAAAAAATAATTTATCAGCCAAAGGGAAAGGAGTTTGTGCTGAGGAAGGAACAAGTTGCCTGGAATTAGTTGCGAAAAGGGAGAAGAAATGGAGAGAGCCAAGAAAAAAGGCACTGACAGGAAAAAGTTAAAGCGGTAAAAGAGGGGGTTGGGGGGGAGAGGAAACAAGAACAAGCGAGGCAGAAAATAGGCACACAACCCTCCTCCTACCCCCCAAAAAAAAAGACAACAACAACAACAATGGAGAGCATTCGACGTAAGCCAGTAATCTTCTGCCGTTCTCTCTGCTTTATTTGTGTTGTGTATATTTTTTTGTTTGTGTGTGCGTGTGTTTCTGCCGCAGAATATGCACCAGCGAATGTATGTGCTTTTTCTGACAATACTTCTGTGTGCACCCTTTTTTAAAATTTGTAGTTTCCGATTTTATTTTATTTTTCATTTTATATCCAGGTGGTGTTTTATATCGCCCATTTCTTTTGATCGCTACTCCGTCTCAGTGTGCGTCTGCCTCTGTATTTTTGGTGGGGCAGTGGTGGCAGTTTTTGTGTGAAGTTTATGTTTGTTGGATTTGATTGCTGCTGGACAGGGGGACTTCCTCATCCCTCACTAACACACCGGCTCGCCTATTGTGTTGCGGCTGCGTGTGGAAGAAGAACGGACAAGCAGAGAGCAGTAGGCGTCATTTCCCAGGTGCCAAGCAAAAAGATGAGGGCCAGTCAGCACGTTGCCTGTGAATAACCGAGTGTGGGAAGAAGCGAGGGCAAAAAAAAAAGCGCGGGGCAAGTTGCCTTGAGTTCGATTCAAAGAGCCGCAGTCACCAGAGAAGGAGGAAGTAAAGCTTTCAACAAATCCACAAGAGGGAGAAGATTGTGTGTATAGACTCATATTTTTTTTTTTTTTCATATATCAGTTGCGTGGTTGAGTGCTCCTTTTCTCACAGATTTGCGTTTCTCGTGTTTCACACCCGCACGGTTCTTATACTTGTGTGGCTGGAGGGGGGGAAAAGCGAGTCGGAGAAGGGGAAGAGTAATAAGAAAGGAGAGGTACAGTGAGGAAGGAATATAAGGGGTCACCTTTTGGTCACATCGTTGCCTTCTCTTTTTTTTTCCTTTTTTTGGGTTGTTAATTGCAAAGCTTCTCTATTTATACCCGTTCTTTCTTCTTTTTGCTTGCCTTTTCTTCTGTTCAATCCATTGCCTCCTCCTGCGTTACGCTTCGTTGCTGTTACTATTGTTACTTTGTTTGTTTGTTTATTTTGTATTACCTGTCAAAACACCGGCATTAGTATCCTGCGGCTACTCAGAAAATAGGACGGTGGTGGTGCTGTCTCGGACCCCCAACACTTACAGGCACGGTACAGTACCACTCTCCATATTTTTCTCTCTATTTTGCGTGGCTGGACTTGGGCGGAGCCCAACATTTTCGACTGATTTTTGGGTCTGAAAAAAGTTCATGGCACACGTTGCCTCTCATTGTCTTAAGATGGCACTGCATCTCTTTGAGAGTCGCTTTGCGATGCGCAAGGAGATGCCTCTTATTTCAACGGCGCCTGATGAGGAGGTGGATCTTTTATGGCGCTTTGTCATTATGTGTTTGTGGGTGTTTTGCACTTGTATGCGTGGGTACGAAACAATTCTCCGTGGATGCTCACCGATTGCCTTGGAAACGGTGATTTTGCTTTTGCGCGTCGTTCTGGTAGATGATGAAGCCATGACTAAGCGGGAGGAACTCGTGGCGTGGCCAAGCGGAAACGGGTATTCGCATCGCGTTCATAGCACGCTGGGCGCGAACGTACGCAATGGTGCGCTACAGCAGAAACAAAAAGAGCGTGTAGGATCTCGAACAGCGTTTGCATTGGAACTGTTTATGTGGTTTACCTTAATTATCTTTACGATTGACCTTACAAACATTAATAGAGCTTCTGTGGCGCTCTTTCTGGCGAATACGCTTTACTGGACGCGGCTTGGGCCAAAATCTGTGGTGTTTTTCACGGGAATTTACGTACTTGTAACGTATTTTTTGTGTCCCGCATATTCGGTACGAGATACTTTTTTGACACTTTCGGGTCAAGGTTCATGGGTGTATAGGGTGTACTCAAGTTTTGGTTTGGCCTTCTCAATAACTCTTTTTTTGACAGAAACGCAATGCCTTCACCGCGTTCGTCGGGCTGGGGTTTGGAAGGTGCTTATGATAACTCGGATCCTTGATAAAAGTGTTGCGAACACACCCCTTGGTGGATTATCATCCTTGATGCGAAGTTTGGCAGACTACTTTTTTTTTGTGGGATTTAATTTTTCCATGGCGTTATGCATGTGGTTTTCCAGTATGATGTTTGAGTGGACTTCTGAAACGTCGTTTACAAGCATTATTTTTGCATTCTATACCTTCTCTGCGATTCTTGGAGAGGGATGGGGGGATGATTTTCAACGCGTGCTCCGTGAAGCAGTCGTTTGCTTCGCCATGTATCTGGTCGTTGCCGCCCTTGTAGTTTTCTGTATACCCACAGATTCACTATCCTTTGCGGCAAATGGAGTGTCTTCGGCATTTTTTGTTCTTTACATGGCAGCTCATTCCCCCCGGCGTGTTCACTCGTCACTGCCCTTGGTAATGGTCTGGCTAGGGATGCTGGCTGCCAACGTGTACTGGCACGTCAATCGCAGTGGGGTGAATACGCTGCATATGACATGGTACAAGGAGTTGCTGTGTGTCAACACCATTACCTGCGCTGGACTCTTTATGCTATCTACCGCTCTCTACGTGTACCGATGGGAGTGGCCCGTAGACCCCTCTGCGGCAGCACTCAGCGTGACGGCAAATGGCGTGTCGAAAGTGACATTTTCTACACGGGCAGAGCATAAATCGAAGGAAAAAAATCATAACACCAACTCGTCAGTTTCCATTACCCTGGAGAAGGCAGCAGCCACAACGCTGGCAACGACACCATCTCCAGGGAAGAGAGCTTATGGTGGCGGTGACAAGGCGACATCCTTTGTGTGGTCACCCTCTTCATCGATCTCGACATCACACACTGCAGAAAATACCACGTCGGAGTCCCTCACCGGGACGGGAATGAATGCCGTAGAGGCTGACAGGGGTGGTGAAGTGTGTGAAGAGGGCATGACAGCGTCTTTAGTCGGCCCTGTGGAGAATCTTTTGACGTCTATCTCTGACGAGAACGCTGTTGCGGCAAGCCCGTCGTGTGAAAGTACACATGATCCTCAAACGAATTTCGATAATTCCGAGCAAGAAGAAGCGGAGGAAGAGGACGAGGACGATGATAAAGAAGAAGTCTCGGCAGAAGAAGCAGTAGACACAGAGATGACACGGGATGAAGACGATGGCAAGTATTTACCTCGATTTACTGCGTCGGAGGAGGTTAGACCCACGACGCCTCCTGTAAGGAAGGAAGCGGAGAAGAAGGTGTTGATGTCAATCAACGCATTTGACCAACAACCATCATCCGTGTCTTTTACGTCACAGGCTAAGAGACGAAGTGACAAGGAAAATGATCTTTCTTCTTTTGCTGTTTCGGATTCCTATTCCAAGAGTGAGACCTTGCTGCACTTCACAGCGCTACCATTGCCTCTGCAAACCAGCAATAGCTCCATCTGTGAGGAGCGACAGGGCGGTGGTGCCGAGAAGGGTAAGGAAATGTCACAACGTGTTTCTCCAACGACAAATGAAGGCAAGAAAGGAAACAAAAGCAATGATCGTGTCACAGCAGTAGCAGCAGAGAAGAGTTCATTGCCTGGGAATGAATCTCCTTCCTTGAATGTGGTAGAGAAAGTGGTGCCAGTGCCGCTTGAGCCTCCAGCGGCACGTAATAAGGCGTCAGCCACAACTTCGGCCGTGCGTCGCGCAGCACCAGATAAGGTGACAAGTACTCGAAAGGAAAATAATACAAAAACAACACTTCACAAGGAGACTTCGGTCGTTTATCATCAACGGCCTTCCTCGCGGACGCCTTCCTCTAAGGTGCTGTGCCCTGAAGTCACTGGTTGTAAAGGACAAACGGTCAGTAAAGTTTCATCACGTGGGGATGCGGCAGCTGCTGAATTTAAAATCCAGAATTCACTACCTCCACATGACAAAAAGATGGAGGATAGGCGGCGTGCATCAGAACCATCGGCAGCGACAAGGATTGTGTCGAGCTTCACGTCAGCAGCTCGCGTAGGATCGGTACCATATAATGGTCATGTGCCAGAAGTGAATACAGTTTCAGGTGAAGGGGGGGGTGTTGCCATTCCACAACCACGATCCGCGCAAACCTGTTTGAAAACATCTTCTACGAGTTCACTTACAGTTGAAGCTGTCAAGATGCTTATAGAAGAGGATCAAACATGGGGTATGCAAAGATCATCAGCATGGAGTGAAAAGGAAAGAAGTGTTTCGTCTTTAAACAATAAGCGCCGTTCCTGTATCTCATCACAAGCGGATGATGATGCTTCTTTGGATTTGGGAAAGTTGCATCTTGCGCCTCTCCCCGATAGTGAAACGGAAGAAAAATCCTTGCAACGGCGTGTATCTACACCGACATTTGGGGCGCCACGTTCTATTCCACAGGCTACACTTCATTCTTTGGAGAATTTTGCCAAGGCCTATATTCCACGTGTGTCGGCTTCTGGCACCACTGATGTGGAGCAGCATGCAGAAGACGCTAAAAAGAAAGGCGCAAAGAATTCTTTGAATAAGAATTGTTATGCACCTGCTGCGCCGAACCATGCCTTACTTCTTGATACACTTGCGTCTGCACCTGTAGGCCGTTCAGAGTCAACTTTTGCGGAATCTAGCACTACTGTGTCGCAGCTAGTTACGCCTCAAATGTTTTCAATGAACGGTGTGGGGGGTACTAGACGTGGTGCAGTTCTCTACCAACAAGCGGCCTCCACTATTCAACCACACATTACGGCAACTCCACGCATGGAGTCGCGTGCAATGGTCATGCCCCAAAATCCGATACAACAGCAGGTTCCTGTGGTGCTGGTGGCGATGGGTGATGGTCGAGTAACTTACTGCCCCATTATTCCTTCTTCGTATCCCGCTGCACCGCAGATTGTAATGCAGTCACCGCATATGGAGTCGACAGCAATGCCGCAACATCTGCAACGAGGCGTGGTGTATCAGCAGGTTTCACTTTCTCATCCTCAACAGACGTATCCAGGGGTATGGCAGCAAGTGAACCAGCAGTTACATGCACCAAAGTAACCGTATGGCTTGTCTGCCATCTTTTCTTTTTTTCTTTTTTCTTTTTTGGTTTTAGTTTCTGGCGTCAAAGTGAAGAGGCTTTGAGACAGCCATTCTGCCGTTCCCTCTTGGGTGGTGGGGAAAATAAAAAAAATGGTGTGAGTAATCTTCTTGCTGTTGTACACGGGAGAAGCAAGATAAAAAAGTAAAAACGGCCACCACCACTAGCAGTCAAAAAAAAAAAGTGGGGGGTTGATTGGGGGAGGCGTGACTGGGGAAAAGGTATGTTATGATGGATAAGAATAAGCAAAACAAAAAAAACGTAAAAAAAAAGCAGACAAGTACGTAAAAGGACACACACAGAAGAAGCAAAAAGAAAGGGGTAAAACAGTTCATATATGCTCGTGCGTGACCTTTGTTTTTATTGGTGGGAGAGATACAGCGAGATTGCGTTGTAAATTGTCATTTTCAGGTTGTGGTTGTTGTTGATCGTTTCACACACCATTTATCCTTCTACGGCTCGTGTCGTCTGAGGTGTGCTGGTATTTGTATGTGTGTGTGTCTGAGTGAGAAAGGGAGGCACAAAGAATGTGGGTGAGGATGTGCATGTATAAACATTCTGCCGTGATCAGCGGCGCTCCGCTGTTGCACCACCACCATCACCAACATTCATGCCAAGCTGCCGTAACCTGAACGCTTGGCCCAAGAGGATGGACGACAGCACGGCGAAATTGATAGGATGAAGGAAAACGGAAGGAGTAACGCGAATCAATATATTGGTGAAACGAGGGTTAAAATATTTATTGAGGTATATATGTATATATGGTCTCGGTGTGTTTCTAACTCTTTGTTCTGTTTTTTTTTTTATTTTACTTTTCGTTTGACCTATTTTTTTTTACTTTTTTTTGGTGGTAGCATGGACTAGAACATGCTTTGTTTTGGTGGTTGTACCATCGGGAGATGGCCGTCTGTGTGTCTCAGCACGTGTGTGCTAGAGAGAAAAGAGAGAGGAGGGCGTACTGAGGGAATGGGACAACTTATTGTCATTCCTGTTGTGCTTCTGTACTTCCTTTCCAGCAGCTTTGGGCCACCGTTGGCGTTGAACATTTTGCTTGTTGTCATTTTGCGTGTTTTTTTTTTTTTGGGTTGTTGGTGGGTGTTCCTTGTTGTCGTGGCTGCGCCTGTTGGTATTGCTGTTGGGCCTCTGGAAATACAAACAAAAAAAGAAAACGCATAAAACGGATGGAGGCAAACGATAAAATGCGGTGGTGCGAGTGCGCGTGGGATGGATGACGTGAGAGTGAGAGGGAGTTCACCAATGCGGCGTCAATGCCCTCATGATGTATGTGTGCATGAGCTGTTTTTTTTTTTTTCCTCAGCGTTTATTTTTCTTTTCTTTTCATTTTTTTTGTGCGTCTTCTTGTTACAATGGAAGGTGATGAGGAGAAGGGAAAAACGGTTCTGGTAGAAAATATCTCTGCGTGTATACACGTCCTCTTGGGGGAAACAATTTATGCTTTGTTTGGGATTCCAAAGAAAGAAAAAAATACAAAAGGGGATAAAAGGGAAGAAGAAGAAAAAACTGATGGCGTGTATGTCCTTTTTTTTTTTTTTATCTCCGCGCCCCCTCCTTTTTTTTTTTCTTTTGTGATTGCATATGAAGAAAGACGGTTACTGTGCGTACCATCTTTTTTGGTCTGCCCTCTTCTTTCCGTTGTTTGATTATCCTCTCCTCTGTGAATGGTATGTGTGTGTTTTTGTTTATGCTCTTGTTTCCAACTCCTTCCTTCATGAGATATATATGCGTATATATATATATATATATATTTCATAAATAATAACATTACTGTTTCCGTTCTTCTTTTTTTTTAATTGTGTGTGCCTGTGTGCGTTTGCTTTTTTCCCCGCCCTCCACTCCCTTCTTCTGGTGCTTTTTTGCTTTCTCTGTCTCTGTGTCTGGCGCTGTGCTCACCGGCTTAGAGAGAGGTATTTGTGGGAAAACTGATGTCTGCCTTGTCTTTTTTCTTCTGTTGTTGCTGCTGCCGCGGCGCCCCTGGTCAGGTGGGGGGAGGGGAAGTGGACAAGATTTAGCAACGCGCGCGCACACACACACACACACGGCGCTTCACACCCTTGTGGTGTGACAGAGACTGTTTGGTTGTTGCTGTTTTGTTCAGGGGTGAAAATAGTTGACCGTTAAAACGTTTTATACAAATCCCAGAAGAAGAAGAAACAGAATTAAGGAAGGAAAGAAAAAGGATAGACGGAGCGAGCGAACGAGCGGGATAAGAGTCAGTACGTACGGTCTACATTTCCCTACTATTCTTCTTTTTTTTTTGCATTAGTTTCTTTCTGTGTGTTTTGGCTTAACTTGTTTCCTGTAGTGGTTGGTGCTAGTACGTAGCTTTTGCTCTTGTGTTACACCTGCTTGGCTCATAGCACATCAATCAGGAAGGCGTACGCGGAAATTTGAACGAAGAAAGAAAGGGAGCATTTGGGTACATCAGACGCTCTCAAAGACAACATAGAGAGGCATAGGCATATACACCTTTGTCACGCAGTCCTGGGCACCGCAGTGGAGACAACCACGAGGTGGGTGGTGAAGTTGCAGCATGAACATTCGTGTCTCCGGGAATTTGCAAGGTCCCACCGTCGTGTTTATCGCAGGATGGCCCGATACTTCGGAGGTATTTCGTGACAATATCATGGCGGGGCTGGCGTCACGCTACCGCCTCGTTGGGATCACGCTTCCCGGATTTGATTATCAATCGCCTCAGTTGCAGAAAGTGAAAAGATGTCAGGAAATTGAAGAGGTGGATGGAAATGTGACGAAGTCGTCAAAAATGGATTTTCTTTGTCTTCCACGAATGGGGTACTCATTTGAGGAGCTTGTCGATTTGTTTGAGATTGCCCTTTTTGCGGCGATGGAGCATCACCCCTTCGAAAGACCCATTCTCGTGGCGCACGATTGGGGATACGTCATCGCTCGTGAGCTATTACTCGTACGACCATACTTTTTTTCACGTGTCGTGTTTTTGGACGGTGGTGGGGACCTTGCTGATCCGTTTCCAAGGAAGGGCAGCGCGTGCGACACTGGCGTTGTGGTTGGTATGTGGTATCAGTGTTGGAAGGTGACGCTTATTCTTATTTACCAAGCGTTCGTCATTCTGGCTTTTCTCATACTCCCCACGTGCGTGGGGAAGCTGGTTCTGCGTTGGTTGCTGCAACTCATGCGTAGACCTCAGTATGAGTACACGCGTCATATCCCAACCCGGAGTCATGAAGCAGACGGGAATGAAGAACTGCTTATGGTTCCTTCCTGTATACATAGGAACACGACGGATTATCCTCGAAAATCGGTGAGGGATTTGGATATCTTCAATGTACTTCTGCACTTTAACAGTGGAGGTGGTGGCCCTGAGCAAACACACGATGTGAGGTCCCTGGCAGCAGCCTTTAATCCCAGCCAATTTTACTACGCGAATGGCTGTAGTTTGTATACTCAACCACCACACCCCAGTGCCCGTGGTATTCATTACACGTGCTATCGGTACCGATCTGCAAATAGTCATAGGAGTTGTGGCTTGCCCAGCAGAACAAGAGCGACGTCTGAAATCTCTTGGAACAGGCTTCCCCTGGCCAGTACCCCGTCACACGATGACGAGGCGGTGCCAGCTCTTGTGGATGTGGATCCTTCGAATGGATGGATTCATCTTCGATACTGGATGCTTTGGGCTTCACGATTGCTACCGAACTCGCAACGTTTTTTTATCCCTATCAGCGTTCCGGTTTTGTTTCTCTACGGTACAGAAAAGACAGTCATGCTGCATTCACAGGAATGGATTGAGTATATTGAGGAAAAGGGAAAACACGATGGTTCACAGGTTGTCGCAGTCCCAGGTGGTCACTGGTTCTTTGCAGAAAAAAGGAATAAAAGGCGAGTGGCGGAGCGAATTGGTGCGTTTTTGGACGCAGACTAGCATGAAGTGGTTAGTGTTTTACTTATGAAAGGGCCATCTATGGAGTACAGAGAGGCATCCGTACATCCCACATGTTTGAAATAACAAAGCACCCACAGTGTAAGATTGAGGGATAGGGGATTAATGGACCTAAGGACCAGCAAACTGTCATGATTTTTTACGCCTTTCTCTTCCTCTCTTGGCTTCATGAGGTTTGGTGGTGATGACTTCTATTGTTGTTGCAGTTCTTCTTGATGGTTTTATGCCCATTGCTGAGCCGTCTTTTCATTGTTGTTGTGTTGCCCCTGCAATCAATTGTTTCCATTGTATTTTTTAGCGATTTTTTTTTTGTTTTGCTTTTTGTTCCGTCCTTTTTTTTTTTTTTTTTTTTCACGGTTTCTCTTCGGTAAGTTTCTTTTTTTTTTCTTTCTTTTTTTGTTTGTTTTAATGGAAACGGCGTGGCACGAGTCACATAGCATTGTGTGGCTATGGTGGCCCCTGATGTATTGGTCTGGGTGTGATTGTGTTTTACTCGTCTAGTAAGGTGTTTTTTTTGTTTTCTGCTTTGTGTGCATGTTGGTATTTTTGTTGTGTGCTCTGCTTTGTTGCTGCTCCTGCTGTCGGGGATGGTGTGCGCTGCAACGTCAACGACGACGCTTGGGTCAGCCTGGCTTGAGCGGCGCCTTGTTGTTTTTGCTAGTGCCGGCGGCTGTGGGTGCGGACGGGGGCTGCTGGTGGGACAAAAAGAAGAAGCATCTGAAGCGGGGGGAGAATGAAAGGAAACCGTTATGTTTGATGCGCGTCTTTGCCCACTCACTTTTACCTTCCAATACCATTGAACTTCACGTTTTTCGTTGATTGGCGGTGGCTGTTTTTGCCTTCGACGATGTTGACTCGTCTGCTGTTGGCTCCTCTACATATCTGTTTCTTCCCTACGCCCCTCCTCCGATGCCAGCAGTAGCTGTGGCAGCACGAGAGAGGAAGTGCGTGGCTGGTATGTTTGGCCGGACGCGTTGTTGCTACTGAACGCACGTACAACTTTCCTTTAAAACAAAAACAAAAAAAAAGATAACACAAATGGATCTTGACACCACCACCGGTGGAGGTGCCGATGATGTGCTCTTCGGAGACGGTTCTGCTTCCACTGTGCCACCCTCGTTGCTCACTAGCGCCCCCGTGATTGACCTTGCGATGCATCCGCTGCTGCCACTTTTTGCTGCGGGTCTCGTGACGGGTGAGGTGGAGGTGCACGAGTATCGCACGACGGAGACTAGGCGGCGACCTATTACGCAACAGTACTTTAAAGGTGAGACCTTGCAGGAAACAAATCCGTACAATCTCCGCATGCACCCTAAGGGCTCTGTATCCGCCATGGAGTTTACCGAAGATGGGAATTATCTAGTGACGGCAAGCAGTGATCGCACTATAAGTGTGTTGGACTGTGTGGCGGAGCAAATCGCGATTCATATTGACGACGGGACTACAAAAAGGAAGATAACAACTCTGACTGGTAATAGGAAAACCAGTAGTAAGAGTGCTCCATTGGCAAAGGTGTCCAAGAAGAATAAGAACCCCCACAAGTTTGGCATCTCTGCACTAAATGTATGTGATGTGAATTTGTTGGCTACAGGTGATGATGATGGTTTGATTGCTATATGGGACATGCGTCAGCGGACGCCGGCTTTTTGTTATCATGAGCATGGTGATTACGTCTCACAGATGATTTACTTCTCCGATATTCAAGAGCTTGTCTCAAGCAGTGGTGATACTTGTCTCGGGGTGTTTGATCTGCGTGGGGGAAAAATCCGTGACTACAGTGAGAAGCGTAAGGATGAGTTGAGCTGCTTTGCGTTTGTAAACAACACAGGGAACAACACAAGCACCTTCATCCCCAGCATTGTGTGTGGAACCCCAAATGGAGGCCTCCCCGTGTGGAAATTCGGTTCTTGGAGACGACCATATGACATTCTCGAGCGGCATCCAGCGGAGTGTGAAAGCATCATCTCCTTCAACAACCCTGATAGCACGTTTAACCACAACATCATCCTTACTGGGGCATGTGACGGTCTGGTTCGTGTGATTCAGATGTACCCTGTGCGCCGCAACCTGTGCCAGCTCAGTGCCAGAGACTTTACCTACTCGCACAACAATTCGATTGGTGGGAAGAGCAGTGGCGGGCACGCCAACACGGCAGTGCGCCGCCAACGAGGTAATGAGGGAATCACCCGAATGCGATTGAGTCACGACTCAGCAATACTCGCAGTCTGCGGAACGGATAATATTATTGACTTTGTTGATGTGCGTTTTCTATCAAATGAGCGTGAGTTGGATACGTTGCGCTCGCAGGCGGAGAAGGGGCACTTGACGGTGCTGAGGGAGATGGAAAAGGAGCGGGAGAAGGAGGAAGAGATGGAAGCAACCGAAACAAGCACCGACGACGACGACGACAACAACGACTGTGGCAGGCCTGTGAAGACCACGAAGAAAACTAAGCGACGACGTGAGGATGAAGAAGACGGGGATAATTTCGACGATGACGTGGACAGCGATGAGGAAGAGGAGGGGGAGGAACCCAAGACGGAGCGTCAGAAGAGGCGGGAGCGCGTCGCTGCGGCGAAGTGGCTTAAGGCTGAGAAGCGAAAGAAGGTGAATTTCTCCTTTGAAAAGCGAAGGCGGCGTGTGCATGGCTTCTTTGGGGACTTGAATTCCTAAAGTACCTCATATCCCTTTTTTTGGGGGGAGGGGGGAGAGGAGGTAGTGCACGTAACAACGAAATAAGACGAGTGAGGCGAATTGGTGTGTGATAAAATAATGAAGGTTCCTGTGGCCGGCGTTTGGTTTGCAGTTGCCGCCTTTTACGACGTTGTTTTGGGTGTTGTTGTTTCCTCTCTATCCTGCTTCACTCCTTCTGCTATCCCACCTGAGTATTGTTTTCTCACTGTGGCTGCCGCTTTTCTTTTTCATTCCTCTGTTGTTCCTGTGGGGTGGGTGCTGCCACCGCAGTGGTAGCTCCAGCGGCGTGTGACGCAATGCCGCCCAAACAAGCAGCTGAGCGCCCCCCCAAGAAGAAGAAGGAGCCTCCAAAGGAGTTGTGCGGCTGCGGCGTAGACACGTACCGCCCGCCGCCGAAAGGAAAAAGGAAGGTAGCACCCATCGAGCATGCGGCTGGCTGCGTTCATCAGCGTACCACCTGCAACGCCTATCCGCACCTCCAGAAGTGTTCCGTCTGTCTCAATCCGTGCAAGTATTGCGCCGGCACAAACCGATGGTGCCCACACTGCTACGAGAACCGCTGCAGAAACATTTACAAACGCGTCGTGCACGGTCACGCAAAGGAAGAGCCGCAGCGAAAGGTACTAGTATCATTTGTCCCCGAGGATGGAGGTGGCGCAGCATCGGCTGCTATACTCCGCAGTGCGAAGGGCTCTTTATCACGCTGAGTGTCCCTTCGCTCCTCAAAGCACCAGCGCAAAGACACATACACAAGGTGAAAGAAAATGGACCTTAGGCGGTGGGAAAGAAAAAGGTAAATACGCGAGGTGTGAAATAAATGAAAAGACCCATGACGCCCGAGAAAACAACAGCGGTAGGAAACAGCGTGAGAGAAGTGTATCTTCTTTCTTTCAGTGTATACGCATACCATGTACATACATAGTCGTCATCAATACGAGTGACTGCCACATTGACGGGCACTGTCAAAAATTCTAGCCTGTGCTGCTCCTGGGCTTGTTTGGTAAGGCAAATCTCTTCTTCTCTTTGTCGCCTACATAACATCAACAGCAAAGTATGCAGTGTTTTTGCCAGCACGGGTCCAATACTTTTTTTCTTTTGATTGTTTTGAAGGAATGTGTTTTTCTTTTGTCTTCTCTATCTGTTTCATTTTGATCCTCTTTTCTTTTTTTTTTCATTCCTTTGTGTAGTTGAGGAACACAGTGTGACTTAGAGGGTTTCCACAGTCACCGAAAGGAACATCTGAGGTTCTCTTACGTGTTGTTGAAGTAATAGATTTAGAGGTGAGTCTCATGTCCGTGGTGCTGGATGTGAATACCATTATGACGGCCCTGTGGCCGTCAGCCAGAGGGAAGGTGACGCGGTCGACAGGGCAGATTCTGGAAATCACTCTAGTCGACAAGGGGACAACGCGATTCACTCATGTCGTCTTTGACCCCACGGACGAGGCGACGTTTTACGCGAGCAGTAGTGAGGGGCTTGTGTATCTGTTTTCTCTTCGCAAGAACGCTGTGAAACTCTTCGCGGCTCTTGAGTATCCAATCGCCTCAATGGCACGTTGTGGCAACGGGGCGAATCCACTGTTTGTGTGTGCAACGGAGGATTTGAGCCTTGTTTGGTTGGATTGCAGGACGAGCCGCATTCTTCAAAGAGTGAAGACACCGCATCTTCACGCTGTTCATATGATGCATGCTCCGGTTGGTTTGGGTTCTTCTTGGTTGGCCACCATTTCGCGAGATGCATTGGCTCTATGGGACGCCACACAAATGGCGTGTCAAGTGCATAGCCACATAACGACAGCAGACGCGATACATGACTTTTTGAGCGTGCACGCCGAGGCGAACCTTCTTTTGACGGTGGAGAATTCTGGAGTCGTCAGGACATGGGACACTTTTACTTTAATGCCAATAAACACCGTAAAGGTTGAGATGCGTCCACGCACAGCAGCGGCATGCCAAAAGTATATCGCTCTTGGATTTTCGAATGCAACTGTCGGTTTCTTGAAAATCCCAGATTTGTCTTCTATTTGTTGTGTTCAGCTTTCTACGGCACCTGCGGCAACGCGTTCTCTCTCAATTATAAACGACGATCTTCTTGCTTGTGAACTAACAGATGGCACCGTTGTTTTTTTGTTGGTCAGTAACTACAGCGTGGCCTTTGCAATGGCTGCATCATGCAGTGGTGTGGCGTGTAGAGGCCCTGCATCTTTTAGCGTATCAGGTCCGTCCTTTGGTGTGTTTTTGCGTGGCAATCAGTTGACTCTCTTTTATCTTCCCATAGCTCGTCAGTACTACCTGCGACGGACAAAGTGGAATGGTGCAGACCCAAATCCGGCATTGCCGCAGCAGCTATATCCCTTTCTGCGGCAAGGAGAGAGCACTCGTGCGACGGGACCCGCAGAACAGGAGCAGAAAAGTATTAGGGACACCACCCTTCCGCGTCCCGCCATTCATCTGAGCGAACAGCAAGTGTCTAAATGGGTAAAGGTGGATCTTCTGCGTCCATCTACTGCAGCTACAGCTGCCAAGGAAGTTGGAAGCCGAACTTGTGTAGCCTCATCCCATAAATTTGAAGCGCCTTTCAAGGGAAGAAAGGCAGGTGCCGAGATGGGTGCGAATGAGATGAAGGAAAACGAACTATCGCAGAGGCCATTCTTGGATAGGGCATCTCGGGCCGCCAACATGAAGTATTTGAAACGTCTGCTTATGAGCTATGGAATGTTTCCAGAGAAATTTCGATCTCTTATTTGGCGGTTTCTTCTGCAACTCTCAGAGCGACGCTTTACGGCCCCACAGTACACTCAGCTTCTCAGCAAAGGGACGCATAGATCAGTTCATTCTCTCTTAAGGCCTTTTCCTTTGGCCAACAAAAAGATGCGAACTGCAATGGAGAATGTCCTGTCAATATTGGCGTGGCATGTGCCTTTTTTTGCTGTGATTCATTTTTTGCCCATGATTGTTTACCCCTTTTTGCAAGTATACGGGGATGACATACAATCGACGGTGGAGGTTGTCCTTGTTGTTTTGTCCAATTGGGGACAGGAGTTCTTTCAATATTACCCGCAACATCCAGTTGCTCTCACCGCATTACTCAACCAGCTGCTTCGTACCGAGGATGCAGAGCTGCACAGCCACCTCGATCAATGTGGAGTCATGGCTGAAGAATGGGGCTGGGAACTGCTGAAATCGTTCGACACCGATATCCTCACCACTGCAGCATGGTTACAAGTGATGGACCACGTCTTCTTCAACAGGCCAATTTGGTTTTTCCTTTTCCATGTACGGTGGCTTGTAAGTCTTCGTGCAAAGCTAATGAAATTGTATGAACATCAAGAGCTTTTGGCCGCTTTTAGCGCAGCACAATCTATTAATGTCAACAAAGTCATTGCGGAAGCCTATGGTCTGTATGGCCGATATCCCACGGGAGATTTGACTGAACCGTATAGGGAACTCCATTCGTTCGTCGACTATGCATATCCTGTTGCATGGAAAATTAACAAGGAGACGATTACCAGAAAGTTGGCGGATTTTCAGCAGTCCCTTCAGCACGAAGGGCAGGAAGCGGAACTTTGCCGTGAACTTCAGGGTATTCGCGAGCAGATGACGGAGGCCGAGGTGCTGGAAGATGTGTTTGTTGAAAAGAGACGTGCTGAATTTGCCGCCCAACTCATCATGGCGAACGATCATTTGCAAAACGAAGTGGCTCGTGAAAAGGAGAAGCAACGGGCGCGTGAACTGAAAAATGTGGTTCGAATTCAGGCAGCGCAAAAGCATCTCCAGCATGCAGACCGTTTAGAAGCGCTTAAGGAGGAACTCATCTCCACGCGCGTTCAAGTTGCCGACCTTGCGGAACTCAGGGAGAAGGAGACAAGGCACTGGAAGTTGGCGGAATCCCTGACAGATCATGAGGTCCGTCGCCTCGAAGAAGCTGCTCGTGAACGCCTTGTAAAGGCAAAGCGGGCCATCGAAGAGGCCGAAAAAAAGAGTTCTCCGCAGTCAGGGGAGGGTGAGAGTGGCTCGATTCCTGTAGTAACAACTCCACCAGTGGTGACGGCAGCGCGGAGTCCCTTAGAGATGGCTATAAAAACTCCACGGACACCTATAGTGTCACGCGGTCCTGTGCAGGTGTACCGCACGATGCAGAGCTGTGCAACTCGTGGAGTGAATGAAACCCATTGGTCAGAGCATCATCAAGAGCGTTTAACAGGTGGGCAGCCACCAACTCCTCCAGCTTTGTCCTCATTTGTGCCAGTTAGAAGTCCCTTATATGATAACCTGTTTGACGACGCTGTGCCTGGGAGTCAGAGCGAGACGAAGTGGCCAACAAACGTTCATGCCCCATCGCAGAGACGGCGACCTTCGAGTGACCATGACGAACACTCGTCTGCAGGAACTGTATTGCTTCGTTCCCGTGGCTCTACGGCCTACCGGTTGCCACGTCCGCCCCATGAAAGACTGAGCATGACACTTGAAAGAGGGCATAGATGACCATAGATGAATCCACAATGGGTTTGTCAAGGGACATTTGCCGAAGCGTGGGTGATAAGAAGAGGGATTGGAGTTGGGGGTGGGGATGTTTCAGCTCATCTCACCTCCCCTAGCCTTGCTCTTTTTATTTTTTATTTTTCTTTCCTTTGTTGACATTTTTTTCTTATTTTTGGTATACACAAAATTTCAGGTAAAATGTTTTGTCACCTTTCCCGTCTTCTTATTTTGTGTGTGTCTTTGTGTTTGCATACTGTCTGTTCTTTCTGATGCAGTTCACTTTAGGGAGTGGCTGATATGTGTGCATCACACGGTATAGCCATTAGACGCAGAGGGAGCACAATTTTTGGAAAGGAGGGGTGAAGAAGAAGATAAACCGCGGTATATTAAGACACAATACAGCATCTCACACTGGCATGAGTGCCACTCTTTCTGTTATCGAATTTGTATGCAACCTGCGTTGGGTGTTGTCGTACGCTGTGCAACGTCTTGATCCTGTGCTGGAGGCGCACTACGCAAACGTCCTTGAGCGTGCTAGACAGGCCGAACGTGATGTTTCACGATCTTATGCCCCGGTAAAGTCTCTGGCAGAGGTGTCTAGTGATGCCCTAGCGTTGGCGCAGGAAGGGATCGTGTACCTGCTCGTGGCTGAGGGTGTACTGGGTCATTGTCCGCCCACTATGCACTCCTTCCTGCTGCGCGCGACGACGTCACCTGACTCCGGTGTGATGAGTACTTCTACGGACGGCAGTGATGATTCTAGTTTGTTCCAATTACAAGGTGCAAGGAACGTGTGCCAGGCTCATTTCTTGTGCATCCGCTGGCTTATTGCGGAAGGGCTTTTGACGGAAGAAGAGTTGCTAGATTCTCTGGGAGGTAAAGCCGATGCTTCAGCGCATGGAGAACAAAGCCTTTTTGATCTGCACCTTTCTATAGCAAAAGGCCTTTCTACTGGATGTTCTTTTGCTCTACAAGCGCATGTGTTACTCACACGATCCCTCATCTTACATTACTGCTGCTCACTTCTATCAGTGAATGATATCGTGGCGCACGTCCGGTTTCTGGATCCCACGTGCAGGGGAACCTTAGAAAGTATAGAAGACACGACTTTTGTTTTGGATCTCTCATCTGCTTAAAGTAATGCACGAGAAAAATATTATAGATGGTGAGCTGTACCAAGTTGCAGCGAATGGAATTAGAGATTCTTTCTACCACACTGTGCAGAGTGGTGTTGTTCTTGGGCTTGCTGTACATTTTTACAAGCAAGCTCTTCTCCCACTGACGCGTGTCTGCACTAGCGCAGGGGATAGCAAGACAGCCTCACATTGTCAAAAAGGTCGGCTGCAAAACTGGGGTTCTGTGTTGAGTGTATCGGAAGAACTTGGATTATGGCCATGCCTTTACGCAGATGAAGTGGAACAGTATGGAGCCGTCGTACTTCAGTTGCATGTGCTTAGGTTTGTCGAGGAACTTTTTGCGGTGCTTGCGACACAGGCAGAAGACTCACAAGAACGTGGGGAAAGTGAGCGAGGGCCACCCGTTAGCCAGTCTATCACCTCACTGCGTGTCGACCGCGGAGAGGATGTTGATTGTATGCCTCTGACGGAAGTGCAATCGCAGGATGTTATGGATTCAGTGTGTGAGAAGGAAAACGAAGAAGTCAATTTGAACAAGTACCCTACAGAAAAAGGTGATGGCACCAGTAGTATGTGGGACGGAGGCGAGGTGAATGGTGGGCCTTCATCCAGGAGCAGTAGAAGTTATCCCTCTGCTCACAGCCGACGTCAGTACGATGTAATGATGGCGAGCCTGCAACTGCATGAGGCGGGCAATGTGGTGTTGGTGCCTCCAAAGTCTAATGGCAGTCCACTGAAGTTATGTCCCTCAACATATTCAGACGCGCCAGGAGTTGTAGTGGCAATTACAACATCATCTACGTCCAGTAACGCCGGGTATGTTTTATCTAGAACCCCTTCACAACGTTTCACTGTGGAGTGCAGGTCGTTGCCCGAAAAATGCCCAACGACGGAGTTGGTTGACTTCTCTGTGAAGCATACGGATGGAATTATGGAAGGTGATAAGGTGGTCAGCGTTAAAGAGCCAATCGTTGTGAATCCTTTGCATTCGTTCTCCACATCCAACGAGCAGAGTGCGACGGTTTTACCTCTTTCCGCCTATTCCCCGACTGCCACTGCCGGTGCTGCAAATATCCTGACTTTCAGCAATGAGGAGCTTCATCCTCCGCCTTCGATGGAAACAGTACTACGAAGAGCCTGCGATCGGTACGATCCTATTTTGTTTTCAGGTGAGAGAAAGTTGGGCATGTTGTCTCCTTTGACAAGCACCATGATGGATAAGCATAATGGTGTGAGAACGGTGGCATCTTGCACGACGACAGAGAGTTCATTTCCTGTCAATTTAATCGGGAGGCTGGGTGCTCTGCACTCGAGTAGAGAGATGACGAGCGCCTTTACTGCTGCGAGCTTATCGCGTCCCCATTCACCCCCACAATGGCAAGAGGAGGTGGAGAGTCAGGGTGTGTCTCCCATTACTCCTGATACTGGAACAGAGCAGAGTGTCGTACCTTCCCAGACAGTTCTAACCTCAGCGGAACTGCAACGTTGCACTTTTCTGATGAGACAAAACCCACAACATCGTTCAAACGTGCGTGAATTCCGTGAGACTGAACTAAGGGACCTGATGCAAGATTTCTCGGTAGTGGATCCTTCACTCCTCTCAGGTACCTCTGATCGTCACTCACTTTTACTGACGCTTGAAAAGCAACAGACGCTAATTCGATGCTTAACAAGTAGACTTGAGGCAATGAAGAAAGACAATCCTTTACGGCATGACGATGCTTGGTCAGCGACTGACGGGGTTTCTACTGTCAGCGAGGGGCCGGATCCAAAACGTTTGCTTCGTTCCGACGCCGATTGCCGCACGGATGATAGTGGGCAACGTGCTGAAACTGATGTTTCTTCAGTCCCAGATGTTTTCTTGGATAGCGAGAGATCTTTTTATTATTACTAAGGAGCGTCACCTTGAAGCCTAGAGAAGCTTGACGCCACTAATGTATTTGGAATATCTTTGCTTTGTTCTTCTTGGATAGTTGGGTTGGTGTTTTCTTGTTCTCTTCGTTTTGTTTTGTTTTGTTTCCTGTGTTTATGCCTGTTTTTTTTTTTGAATTCTTCTCCGTGCGCAAGAGTTACCGCCAAAAGGACGGATTTTCACCTAGAAGACGTGTGTGTCTTTTTTTTTTAGGGGGTAGGCGGATAGTGAGCGGGGTACCATGTCTCTCAAGTCCGTAGCACCAGTAGAGTGTGCGTCTGCGGGAATCACCAAGGGACACCATGTCGCGAGTAAAGGCTTTATTGCCTGGCTCCTAATCCTCATGGTGTTTGCGATGTATTTTCTTTGGGCGTTTCTACCTGAGCATTTGCTTGACTGGACCCTGCTCAACTACTATCCTGATAAATATTGGGCCGTGGCGTTGCCGGCTATTCTTGTCATGTCAGTGGTGTACTACTTTTCCATGTCCTTTCTTTTGGTGTTGTACCGGACTAATCCCCTTACCGATGGATTCTCTGTTGCAGACGCGGATGCGAAGGAGGATTACCACAGCCTTGAGACCCTGTCCGATGCGAAGGAGAGTGTTCCCCCACTCACCGAAATCCCAGTGAGTGTGACGAGTCGACTACTGTTCCAGCCGTGGAACTGATGTTGTCTTTTTCACTCTTTTTGCCAGCCGTGTGTAAATTATTGCTCCATGTGTCCTGGATGCAAGTCTTTTTTGAGCGACGGGTGAGGGCCATTGTTTTTTTTTTAATTTGTTATTATTATTTGTGTGTGTGTGTGTGTTGTTGTTTTTTTTTGTTTTGGGTGGGGGGAGGAGACATGCTGAGGTTTTTTCCCCCACTGCTGCCCGCATGATCAACTGAAGGAAGTTTTTATCCAGCCGGAAAAGAAAGGCGAAAAAATAAAAGCAAAGAACAGACAGACGAATGCGACGCTCAATTTATTGGCGGCAGTCAAGGGTTCTTGCGATGTTAATCGACGCGGTCAGTAGACGCCGAGTAGGACTAGAACCCGAGGATGTTTACAGAATTTGCGCCCTCCTCAAAGCAAAGAACGACGCACTGTTGTTGCAGAAGAACCAGCCTTTTCTCTCTGGGCTGCACGCGGAGTACCAAAAGATGGGGCCAGACGCTGTGACACCGTTTCAGCGAACATTTATTGATGGGGTTTTCGCCGCTCTCCCATGTGCTGTTCTGAACTCCTACCCCTGCCGCGTGGAGGATGGAGAAACGAGTACAACGAACTCTGCTGGGATGGCTGTAGCTGGCAAACAGCATCAGAAGTGGTCGAAGGCGATGACGATGGCGACGGCGAGTGAAACTTCTGCAAATGCCCTCGCGGCAGATAATGCAAATGATGCAGTCGTGGCAAAGAGGGACGCGGCGATTCGGTCCGATGAGGCGCTGGCCGTTGAGGGGCGGATTGCTGCCATTTGGGAGGTGGTTCAGGAGTATCAGTCTACCAACTTTATAGGGACTGATGGGACCCAGAAAATTCACAAGCACTGCAAGGCTCTAGAGCTACAGCTTCGTCAGATGAAGCCATTTGAAGTCGCATCTCTAGTAAGGGCACTCGCTATCATTAACTATCAGGACTACACCTTTACAAATCTTATTGCTCGCCGCAGCTGCGAGGTGGCGTCAAAGCTCTCTTCATCCGAGCTGTGCCGAACCTATTTTAACCTGAGCAAATTACAGAGTCATGACTCTCTGGTCGCTTTTGTCAATCAAATTGAGGCTCAAATGGAAAGGTTCCATCGAGAACAGATCCAGTTTGTCGCCATGGCACTTGAGAGGCAACCACAGATTGCTTCTGCTCCTGCACGTATGGCTCCCAAGCTTCTAGCACGGGCTGTGTCCCATTTCTCTGAGAAGGACGGCATACTGTACCATCGAGCATTATTAATTGTGGCTGCGCGTTATAATTTATCACGTCACCCAGCGGTAATGAAAATATTTGAGGACGCCTCTAAACATTTAGAGAATATTCCTGAACGTGATCTACTTGCACTTCTACAGTCTGCCGTTGACCTCAGTATCTCTGCTGGGACTCCAGGACTTACAGAGCTTCTGAGCAAGGTGGAAGGTGTCGTTTGCACCATAGATATTCGTCATGCTGACGCCCTTATGGACATCCTTTCCGTGCTTCCTATTGATACTAGCGGCATTATGGCCAAGTTGATGAATCGACTGGTGACAGACGCAGGCAAGCTGTCGATAACACAGTTAACGTTTATTTTAGACCTACTCTCGAGTTACCCTCCAGCAAAGGGTAACGCATGCGTTGCAGCACTTGCCTTCGCCGCTTCCCTCCGTGCTGAATTTTTTGATAGAGAAGCACTGGAGCAGGTGGTATTGAGCCTCGCCCAGATTAACCTGTTCTCAGACGATTTCTATACACTGGTATTGGTTCTGCAAGAGAGTAAAGGTGGCTTCCGAAGCTTTGACAAGTTGGCTAGTCTGATGAAGTGGTGCTCGCGAGAAGTCGTGCTGGATGTGCGAGGTCAAGACATGATCACGAAAGGAATTTTAAGCCTGGCACCCACCATGAATGATGAAGAGCTTGCTGAGACTCGTAGGCTTTTGACGCAGCTTGGTGTGAAAGACAAGAATGTTCATCAAATGATATTTCGCCGCGCCAAACAGTTGCAGCGCGAAGCAGGAAGTCGTTGGACTCGGCGTGGTTACACCAATGCCGCTGATGACTTCACATAGCGTCTCTTTGGAGGGGGTTACCGTTAACCGTGTGACGTGTTTCCCGGCACCAAGCGTGACTTTTGCCCTTGCTGTTTGTTTGTTCGCTTCATTATATATATTTTTTCTATAATTTTTTCCCTTTTGCCTTGCACGACTATTGGCCGTCTATCTTAAGTGTAGCCTTCGCATTCTACACTTGTTGTTGTTGTTGTTGTTGCTTGTTGCTTATTGCTTATTTATTTGTCCGTGCTTGACTGGTTTTACCTTTGCCGCAAAACACCACCATTAATCTGGACCTTTTATTTGTGAAAAGAAGACTCTAGGAGATGCTCAGTGCCCTCTCAGGGGCTGCTCCAGCCGCTCTTGCCACCACAGTGGCCGTAAGACCGGCTCCGCTTGATCACATATTCCAGCGCTGCAAGCTGAACCTAGTGGAGTTTACGGCGCAGGACATCTATCAGGTGTGCACAACGGCGTACAATATGGACACCATTGGCATGACACAAGACCCGGACTTCATGCGAGGCCTCCATGATGCCTTTCGCCGCTCCGACCAGACAGTCCTCTCACCTTTTCAGGCGAACCTTATCGCTGACACCTTCCGCAAGGTGGGCATCATCAGTTCACCGAAGGAGGTGGCTGTACCGGAGGAAGAGGCTGTATCACCAGAGTCGCTCATTATGGTACTCCGTTCCATGAATATCATGAAACAGCGTGATGAACGCAAGATGAACACGGTGCTGAAGCTGATGTTTCCGATCCTTGATGAGTTTAGCCCAACGCAGCTTTCGCTTACAGTCACAGAGTTGGCACGCCTGAAGTGCCAAAGTACGGATTTTCTTGGTAAGCTGGCAAAACGCATCATTGAGTTTAGTGATGATTTGAGTCCGCTTGATATATCACTCACCGCTATGAGTCTTGCATACTGCCCAGGGGTATCGCACACCATTCTTCGCCGCGTGTTTCAAATAGTGGAGGAGCGCATGGGTGAATTTCAGCCAGAAGATTATGTTAATGTTCTTTACGCTCTAAACGCTCTGGGCCCAAAATTTTTAATGATCTTCCGTCGTTTGGTGGAGTGTGGTTTAGAGCACGTAGAGAACATGGATGCGGTAACGCTCACAAACTACCTTGTATGCTTTACAACAATGAATTACAGGCAACTTGAACATGTGGAGATTTACGCAGATGCTCTCGTAGAAGTTGCAACGGATCTTTCAGAGAAGGAACTGGTTCAGGCGTTTATTGCGCTGCAACGCCTACATCTACTTAGTGACACTATGTTTGGTACAATGGCATCGTGTGCAATGCGGTATGCAGCGAAAATGGATCCGCGAAACATTGCACCCATTATAGATATCTGCAGCACTGTTCCGCACCCTTCTGGGCCCCTTATGAAGGCTCTTTTGGACCGTGCCATGGAATGTACTCGCATCCTATCACCAAACCAGCTTGGCGACATTCTTAACCTTATCGGACTTTATCCTCCAGCGCGAGAGCATCCACTCGTGCAAATGTTTGGTAAACAGGCCCGACTTCGGCTTGACTTAATGGGACCTGAACCTCTTGCAGGTGCTACGCGCGGTTTGGCCAACCTTGGCTACGCCGATCCTGAGTTTTACATTCAGGCCGCTGAAACAGGTTTTCGTTACGGGTTTAAGGACTGGTCTTTGCTGGAGCCCATCCTTATGGGACTCAGCATTACGGGTCAGTGTCCACCGTCCATGGTGCGGGTGCTCGGTTCCCATCTAGCACCAATGGCTCGTTCAATGAGCCTTTTAGATATTGAAAGGGCAAATCGTTACATGAAACGTCTTGGATGTGAAGATGACTTTGTGTACAAGGCCATGGCTTCGCGTGTGCTACAATTTGTAAAGGATATTACGCCGGATATGCCAGAGGAATTACAGATCCTACTTCAAAGAGGTGCAGTAGAGCCTAGCACTGCACCTGGTTTGATTTAGATCTTGCTAACTTCTGACCTCAGTGGTATTTTTTTTTATTATTTTCGTGTCGTCCTGTGGTATATGCGTGTGCGTAGATATCCTTGTGTGTGTCTCAACGAAAAGGAGAGGGAGGAGGTTACTGGAAGGATAAACATGTTTGAAGTTTGGTTGTGATGCGGCGTATGTGCTTGTTTGTTTGTGTGTGTGTGTTGATGCTCGATATTATTTGTGCATATAATATAATATATAATGGTGTACCTTGTATTGCATGTCTTACTCTTTATTTATTTATTTAATTATTTTGTTTATTGTTTGCGTGTTTTTTTTTAATCTTTCACATTATCTTACCAGCGACAGTGACGCTTACAGAAATATTATTTGCCTCCAATAACTTCCCTATAGGCATCAGATTAAGTGGAAGAATAAGAAGAAAAGCGAGGGAAAATGTATGCAGGTTCGATGTTCACTTTTTACAAGGACCCCTATTGCAAACTTCCTGTTTTTGTGATGGGAGGGCGTGCCCGACGCTGCATCTTGTGGATCGGGGGGCAGTGTGAGTCTTTCCTCACCTTTGGCTACTTCCCAGAGCTAGTGAAAATGCTTGAGGGTGAGTGGTTGTTCGTGCAAACAGAGCTCGCGAGTTGCCGCGTTGGGTTTGGGGCACAAGACCACGTTCACGATGCTGAAGATGTGGACGATCTCCTCGAAATCCTTGTGAAGAAACATGGTATGGAGGAAGTTACCATATTCGGGACAAGTACGGGGGCTCAGGTGGTGTTTGAACTACTTGAGAATGGCCGCAACGCCCAGTTCATTACGCGTGTCGTTCTCCACGGCGTTGTATGCGATCCCGAGATGCCACTTTTCACGCCGAAGGGGGAGGCCGAACGAAAGGAAATTGTTACAAAGCTTCTCGAGGAGGGTCGACATGAAGACTCCCGTGCGATGGTAAATTATTACGATATCCCCATCACACCTGCCCGTCTCTCCAGCGGGGGATTTCCGACACTGCAGGAGGCTGTATGGTGCCCCTGCTTCCGCGGCGATACGGAAACGCTGCGAAAGTCACTCGGCCTGGTGAAGGTGCCGCTGCTACTCATGCTGGCACACCATGCGCAGTACAAGCCTACTGCTAAGGAGATTGAGCGCGTGATGCAGCTTGCCAAGGAGTACACTGATTGCCCACACGTCACAGTGGCCTATTTCAATGATACCTGTGACGAGCGGAGACGTGTGCTAAAGGCAGCGGAAGCTGAACACGTTGAGGCCATTGTGCAGTTTATCTTCGAGGAGGAAGAGAAGCGCAATAAGCAACTGGCACATCAGAAATTTCAAGCTGTGGAGAACGAAAAAAAACGGAAGTCAGTGCTGCAGGCCTCGGCTTTTGCGCAAAATATAATTAAACCTACTGCAGTGTAGTTATGTTTGTACGGAGCACTCATTGTTTTTCCACAATGTAAATTCACTTGACGAAATCCCTTTATCCCTCCTTTCTTTTTTTTCTTTTTTTTTTTTTCTTGACAATGAGCTGCCCATCCTTGTGAACTGTACTGAGTGTCTTCCCGTGTATGATGTATGTGTGCGTTTCACTCCCCGAGCGGAAAGGGACACGTCGCCAGAAACGGATTCACATGGGCGGAATTATTACTATATATATATATATATATATATATTTGTATTAGGGAGTTCTTCTCGCTTCTTGGATTTATGTTTTGCATCTCTATTGGTATTCGTTTCTTTTTTCAAACCTTTGCCTGCTTCTCCGTTGTCTCCATGTCTCACTTTTTCTCTTACTCCCTCTTCGGCTTTGAGCCAACAAGAATGGCTGGGCAGTTGAAGCGTGTGCAGAAGATGTCTTACGCGACTGGTGATGCACCCACAACCGTCCATAACTCCTCACAGAGCAGCAGCGGTGTTGACTGCCAGTGTGAGGAGGAACTGCAGTCGGCGACGGAATCGCCGGCTGTGTCGCATTATCCGTTAGGCTCGTGGGAGCGTCATCTGTTGGAGGAGCGACTTCGGGCCATGAAAGACTACGAGCGGGAACGATTATTGCAGGAGGAGCTAAATAAAGAGTGCACCTTTCAGCCCCGCTTGGGTATATCACGCGGCTATGAGAATGAAGTACACGGGAATTTTGCCTCCGCGGACTACAAACAACGACATGTGCCTGTATTTGAGCGTCTTACAAACCTTGCGAAGGAGCGTGAGGCCCGACTAGCGTTGATTGCTGAAGAAAAAAAGCGGAGTGAAGAAGAAGCATTGCAGCATGCTTTTCGCCCACGGGTGAACTCCGTTCCCGAGCAGCATGTGCCGTTTGCCTCAGATCGGACGAGGATTCCTGTAGAAGAGAGACTACTGCACTATGGAAAGTCCGTTGAGCAGAGTCGTCGTCTGTTACAGCAACAGCGGCAGCAAAAGGAGATGGAAGAATTGCGTCAAAAGGCCACGGTCCGGCGCACCCACAGCAATGTTTCAGGAGAGAAACCCCAAAGTGACATTGCGAAGCGTTCTAAACGGCTTCTTATAGAGCGTGAGACGCAGCGTGCGGTGGCGCAGCAAGCCCTGCTCAAGGAGCACAGCTTTTGTCCCAAGGTGTGTACCATGTCTGACGCCATTGATCGTACGTTGAAGGCGAATAAAAATGTGCGTGATCGGGGTTTGGCTCTCTATGAGGAGGGTATGCGCCGTCAACAGCAGCGTCATGCAGAGACGGTGCAGAGACAAATAAAAGAGTCTAACGGCTTGCACAAGCCTACCACCAACCCGCTTACGAAGAGCTGGATTCACCATGGACAACATAGAGGCTTATTCCAACAAGATTTTATTAGACGACAAAAGATTTACCAGCGTGTAAAGGAGGAGCATCAGCGAAACCTTGTCTCTGCTCTTGAACAGAGTGAACGAGCAGAGGTGCCGCGGGTCAGCCAGGAGATGATACAGCGACAGGTGGAGCGACTTTATCTGGGTGCGCAGGAGATTCGAGCAGAGGCAAAGAAACGCATAGAAGATAATATCAAGTCTCGCGAGTGCCCCTTCCGCCCTCAGTTAGCACCTGGAACCGCCTACGTTATTGCCCGCACACAACGCGAAGAGGATGTGGTGAAACGTCTCGCGTCTGCTCCCCGTGGTCGCTACGCTCGGCATCACTCTTTTTTTGAGACGACGTCTGTAGAGGAAAAAGAAGAGGATGGAGGGAGTCTCCCGCGCAAGTCCAAATGTGTCCACCCTGATGAGGCTGCCGAGTTTTATGATCGACAAAGGCAAGCCATGGAGGATCGAGAGATGCAACTACGCGAGCAGAAACAGCGCTTAGCGATGGAGGAGCTTTGCGCCTGTACATTTCGTCCGCGGACGTGCACAGACGAGTACTTGCATCGACGTCAAACACAAGCCACCCGTGAGGCGGCGCAGCAGCCTGTGGAAGCACGTGTGTCAGGGGTGTCGGCGTATTTGCAACGCCAGTCCGAGGCGAGGCGGCGGCTCAGGGAGCAGGAGTCAAGGTACAACAACCTTGGGCGGGGCCTCCAGTGCAACGGAGGTAACAGCACCGTCATTACGCCGTTTAACTTATCTAGCGGACGTGGAACGCGTCTTCACAGGTTAAGTTCGAGCTGGGATGAATTGAAGACGAGCGGTGGAGAGGAAGATGGTGGCCACTATCATGTCGATCCCTGCAGCAAGAACGGAACTTTTATGGCACTTCACGAGAAACTTGCAGAGACTTCTTCTAGGCCTCGTATGCGATGAGGAACATTTTTTTTTTTTTAAGGATGGTGAGGGGGAATAAAAATGGGGCAAGAAAGAGAAAGAGAGAGAGAGAGAAAAGGCGAGAGGTGCACATTCCTTGGGGTAGCTCTGGATGCCTTTCGTGTATGTTGTCCTTTTCAGTCAGTCAGTATTCTCATGTTAGTTTGCTTTGACTTCCCACTGTTTTTTTTTTATTTCTTGCCTTGAGTGCTTTCAAATGTAGCTGCGAGGAAAGTGACTCATTTTTGTGTTTTTTTTTGTTTCTCGTTTCTCCTGTCACTCTCTTGAACATATGACTATAATACACTAGTAACGCATGGCAACGCTCTCACAGGCCCGACTTGCTGGATGGGCCTCACGTTGGCTGACAGATGAACTTGTCGCACTGTCCAAAGCGGGCAATTGGGAAAGCGCCATGACCACATTGACGCAACTGCAACAGGCAAACATAGTGGAGAGCAATGTTTTTCACTACACCACCGTAATTAGTGCTTGTGGTCGGTCAGGAAAGTGGGAGGCGGCGATGTCTGTCTTTAAACACATGGTGAAGAACGACGTGAAGCCGAATGTTTATACTTACACGGCTCTTATTAGCGCATGTGCCGCTGCACAAAAACCGGACGTTGCGCTTCGGATGTATGCTCACATGAGACTGGCAGACGTTGCCCCAAATGTGCGGACAATGACGGCACTGGTGACTGCATGCGCCCGTTCTGGGCAATGGGAGCGGGCCAGAAAAATTTTGCGAGAGTGCGATGAGCTTTGCATCGCACCCAATGTCTTTACATACACCGCTGCAATAGAAGGATGCCACCGTGCGGGAGCTTGGAAACCCGCAGTGGAACTCCTTAACGAGATGCGCAACCCTCTAAACGTTCGTCCTAACGAGATCACATACAACACAGTCCTCGGGGCCTGTGCTGCGGCTTCCGCCCATGCGCCGGCGCTAAAGGTCTATGCAGCCATGGTAAGTGATGGGTATATGCCAGTGTCGTATACAAAGACACTTTTGACAGAGTTGTTTAAGAACACCGCTCTGGACGGACTAGCGGATGACTTGCAGGTGCGCAAGAGTAAATGGCGTGATGCAAATGCGCCAGATTCAGATCCTGCTGTCATCTTGGAGCTGTCCCGTGAAGAGGAAGCCAAGGAAGCGTAATAGACTGAGGCAGGAAAGGACACTTATTTCTTCGAAGATGCTGCGGGAGCGGATAGAAATTAGTGTAAGTGTGAGGAAGGGAAGAATCCACACGAACAAAAAAAAAAAGAAATGGTGTGGGGCTAGTGAAAAGTAACCTCTCTCTCACTTTGGTTGTGTTGACTGTTTCTTTCGTATTTTTTTAAAAAAATGTTAATTGAGGGCGTGTTGGTGCATTGCCCCCTCAGTGACGGGGAACGACGTTGACCACAAACACATCATTCTCCTTTTCTTTTGCCAATGGTGTGGTTTTTTTTTTCTTTATCAACATTATGACATGGCAAAAGTGTGGGGGAGTTGTGGCGGTGCGGCGAACTATGAGGAGCGGCGTAGGCGAGTTGGTCTGGGAGAATGCCCATACCGCACGCGAAGTGCGAGGTGTGGCTTTTCTTGGTATACCACAGGCAACAGACCCGGGTTGGGTAATGCGAAAACATGCGCTTCTTCGCGCAGAGTACCCGCAAAGTGCGCCGCCCCCAGCCACCGCAATGGAGGAAGTGGTAGAGGGAGGAAATGGAAATGCACTGATGCTTTTACCAACGGCAAAGCCGCGTGGTGAAAGTGAGGTGCCCATGACACAGAAGCGTGCGCGTGGCGAGGATGCTGTTATCTCCATCGATCCAAAGGTGTTGAAGAGCCGCATAACAGCCGTCTCCACCACAGCGCCAGCGGGCGTGCAAGATGATGAGACGTATGTGCCGCCTTCAACGTGGAAATTGTCAAAGGTGTTGGTGGGACACCGAGGGTGGGTTTGGTGTGCCGCGGTGGAGCCAAATAACTCATGGTTCGTAACAGGTGGTGGTGATGCTGTGGTGAAAGCCTGGGATCTGACGACGGGGGCGCTTAAACTCAATCTTACAGGGCACAAGGAGGCTGTGCGGGCTGTCTCGCTGAGTACGCTTTCACCCTACATGTTTAGCGGGAGCGACGATCACTCAGTGAAGTGTTGGGACCTTGAACGCAATGAAATTATACGGGACTTTCATGGACATAAGGGTTCAGTTCACTGCGTCGGCGCACATCCTTCGCTGGATATTGTTTTAAGTGGTGGAAGAGATAAAACTGTGCGAGTATGGGACATACGCACTCGCTCATGTGTGCACATTCTTGTGGGTCACAATGACAGTGTCATGTCCCTAGCAGTACAGCAGGCCGATCCACAGGTCATTTCTGGTGGAAGCGACGGCATGATTTACTTGTGGGACATCGCATCTGGACGTGCCTTTACTCGCCTGACGCGTCACAAGAAACCTGTACGAGGACTTGCTATCAACCGTCAAGGAACATTGACCTCCTGTGGGGCCGACCATATCCGTGTCTGGTCCCTTCCGAAGGGGGACTTTCTTTTCAACGCATCTGCGACTGCCGCTGGTGGGAGTAACAAAGATGAGGACGCGCCTGGGTGCCGCTGGAGCTGCTGCGCCTTTAGCCCTCGCAATGTGCTTGTGGTGGGGAGCCAGGAGGGAAGATTGGCATTTTATGATTGGGGACGTCCGCGTCGTCCGCCGTATCAGCTGGCTAAGACAAAATCCATTCCAGGCACACTCCCCGGTGAAGGTGGCATTAACGACGTCGTGTTCGATGCGTCAGGGTCACGCATGATCACTGCGGAGAGTGACAAGAGCGTAAAGGTTTGGCGATCCAAAGAGTAAAATGACAGACGGGAAAAACAACAACAAAGGAACGATGATATTGAGAAAGGTGGATGATTTTCTTGGTTTAACCTGTTTGTTGCCCTTGTTGCCTCCTTCTTTTCAATTGCGTGGCCTTTGTTTCTTTTTGTTTTTGTTTGTTTGTTTGTGTGTGTTTTTTTTTGTTTTTATCATCTTCCTCCTTACAGAAGATGACTGCGTCAAGCAATCCTAATGTGCTTCACGTCCTCGTCGTCGGTGATACGGGCGTAGGGAAGACGCTACTTTTGCGGCGCCTGCATCAAGTGGCTTTTCCGGGTGAAGACGCCTTGGCCTCCACATGGGGCCCTACTACTGGATTTCATGTGGAGGTGGTTCGTAACACCCACCAGCAAGGCTCTGCGTTCTCTTCAAGTGGTCAAGTTGCGGCACCCTGTGTTGCATTTATTGAACTTGGTGGTAACCGGAATTTTGGTCCCAGCAGTCAATTTCCCATTGGTCTTATGTCTTTTGATGGTGTCATTTTCGTTTACGACGAGCAGAATGCCAACAGTGCAATCGGGCTTAGTTATTGGTATGACGATTTGAAGAGTTACGGCATTGTAGGGAATAACGGGGGTGCTAAAGTGATGCTTCTTGAGGTGGCGTTGTCGCCGTCAGTGCTGAATCCTTCAAATGTCACCAACAACCTTCCGGATGAACTTCTTGGGGCGTATCTGCAGAGAAATGTCAATGAACCTTCGCTGTGGAGGCGACTTGTGCAAAAAGTACGCGGCTCAGCTGTCCGGTGGGTGGGCACATCGCGGCTGCGTGTTAGAGACTTTCAACAACACCAGGGCAGCTTTCGTGTGCGGGTCGTTGTTGTACTTTATTACTGGGCGGCAAAACTTGAAAACGTGTTGCTTTTTTTAGTGGCTGTGATCCTGTTTGGACCATATCAGCAAGCTGTTCGACTGCGATGTCCATCGGTGGCCGAATCCTTGATGATGATATCATCGGATGTTCGTGGCACCCAAACAGTCTTGTCGTGTCCCCTATTTGACCAACTGGCGTTTGAGGCATCGGCTCTGGAGAAACTGATGTTGTTTGTTGATTCACTGAGGCATGACTAACATTTTGTTGTGTGTTTCTGTGCTTACTCTCTCTCTCTCTCTCTTTACTCAAAACCTTCTTTCTTTGTGTTGGAGGTGTTGTTGTTGTTTTGTTTTTTTTAAATATATGCCGTCAATACACATATGTAGAGCTACACACGTGTATGTGGATGTTTTTGTTTTGTCGTTGTCTGGTTTGTTTCCTCTTTCCTTGCCTCTCATGTCTTTTTTGTTTGTTTGTTTGTTTGCAAGTTTGGGAGGACGAAACGAATTGGGCCCTTGTGGTGGAATCCCAGGCAATTAGGATTAGCTGCAAGAGGATGAACTCCGGTTTGACAGCCTCGTCACGGGTGTCGCCGGAGCTCGCTTCCATCATTGCATACATGGGGCAACATGTCCCGCTAGCTCTTGTGGCGGCCAGTCCCTCTGCCCGATTTGAGGCGGAGCTTGTCGGGTACGTCATCGGGAATGTTCATGTTTCGTGCCGTTTTGGCTCTGCCCGTTGCAACGGGCAGAGCCAAAACCGGGAGGAGTTAGTCCTCAAGGTGGGTGTTTCTCGAAGCTTTGATCTACTGTTCCTCAACCTTTGGTGGTTCGAGCGCCATCGGGCTGTCTCGCTTGTGTTAGATCACATTGATAGACAGAACTTCCTGTTGTTTCAACGTTTCAGTAAATGTTTGAACCTGCGGGAGGTGAAGTTGCTCAACTCTGTCGTAGCTTGTGATGTGATGCATGTCATGTCTACGTGCCGTGAGTTAGAGAAACTCACGGTTCGACAGTGCTTCGGTGATGCAGAGGTGAGCCTCTGCGGGGTGACGCCAATCCTCAACAACCGTGCCACAGAGAAGCGTGAGGTCTCGAAGTTTTACATCTCCGGTGTCACAAACCTTGGGGTTTTGTCAAATCTGCGTCACCTCACCCTGTCTAATACGCCGCTGAGTGAAACGATGATGCCATATTTCTCTGAGTGTGTCGGTTTAGAGCGTGTTGTGGTGGATTCATGCCGAGGTCTGAAGTCGTTGGAGTGTTTTGCTTCTCTTCAGCGTTTGACGGAGTTATATCTATTAAACTTGGGCATCACAGAGGAGGGTCTTGCCTCCATTAGTCGATGCACCTCACTGCAACATATACAGCTTGATAACTGCATGAAACTTCATAGTCTTAATTGTCTTGAAACCCTAGTTGGTCTGCGAACGCTTGATGTTTCACGGAACCGAATCTGCGATGACGGAATCAGAAGTTTAGGTAACTGTAAGAATTTGGAGGAACTTCGACTTGTCTCGTTGCGTTGCCTGTGGACCGTAAAGTCGCTTGGGCTCCTTGATAACCTTGCTGAGTTGGACCTCACAGACAACTGCGTCACAAACGAGGGTTGTGCGGCTCTAACGAGCTGTTGTCAGCTTCAGCACCTCAAACTTGCTTCGTGTCGCTGCGTGTCGGATGTGCGTTGGATTTGTGCCTTGACGTCTCTTCGGTCTTTAGATTTGTCAAGAACGTGCCTGAGAAGTCCTGAGCTGCAGGTGCTGAAGGCGTGTCAACAGCTGGAAGAACTCCATCTTGCTTCCTGTGGCGGCGTAAACGAGGCCTCCTTTGTCGAAGGTTTGATATCTCTTAGATACTTGGATCTTTCTGATACTGGCTTAAACGATGCTGGGACGCAACCGCTGCGACAATGTACAGCGCTGACCTTTCTTTCACTGCGGGACTGCCGCCTTGTGACGGATGTGCATTTTTTGGAGCCGCTGAGGAACCTGCTCAGCTTGAATCTGGAGGGCACGGAGGTAGTGGACGCCAGCATTGTCCCGCTGATTCACTGCAAAGAGTTGGAGTTCCTTTCACTTCGTTATTGCCTTTTTTTGACTGATGTCCGTTGTTTGCGTGAATTGAAGGTGCTCAGGTCGTTGGATATTTCTGGCACATACGTCACTGATGAGGGGGTGTCAGATGTCTCGCAGTGCATCTCATTGGAACGGATTAACCTTGGGGGATGTTTCCTCATTACCCACCTTGAGTTTCTTCGTCCCTTGAGTGCCTTGAAACATGTGACGGCAGATCGCACGAATGTAGTGGATGTGACCGGCTTGGGAGGGACCGGGTCTGTGCGGGAGTTATCGCTTGCCGACTGCAAACGGCTGGGGCCGATGGGTCCGTTGGAGGCCCCACGCCTGCTGGATCTTTTGCTGAAAAAGAGCACCATCACTGACGGTGGGATGCGGGGTCTCTTGGTGCACTGTCATTCCCTCCGACGTCTTTACCTCCAACATTGCCCCTTCATCACGGAACTGAGTGCTGTCGCACAACTGCCTTCCCTTACGGAACTTTTGGTGCGGAATATAAAAATAACGAATGAATCTGTTGTTTTTGTGGCGCGTTGTGTGTCGTTGGAAATATTGCTGCTAGCGGAGTGCGTTGATGTCACGGATGTAAATAGTCTCCAACATTTGCGCCGACTGGTAGAGTTGGATCTTTCAAAGACAGGTGTCACCTCTGAGGGAATTGTGGGTCTGGCACGCTGCCATAGCTTAAAGAAGTTGAACCTCAGCGACTGCCGTTACGTCACGGATGTGAACTGTCTTGGAGAACTGCATGTATTGCTGGAGCTTCGTTTGGAGCGAACCAGACTCACAGACAGTGGCATTGTGGGACTATGCCACTGTATGCAGCTTGAAACCCTCACACTCACAAAGTGCAGCCAAATCAAAAACGTGGAAAAGCTTCAGAACTCTCTAACGCGCCTGGTAACCTTTGACGTGTACGGCACCTCCGTCGAGGCCTCTCGCCGATATCTTGGTGTGGGCCAACGCATCCAGCATGCGTGTGTTGTTCTCTGAGCCTGTAGAGGCGGCTGTGGAGTGACGGATGTTGTCCTAACCACCTTCATGGTTACAGGCAATGTGTCGCTTTGTCGCAAACAGAATATGTGAGGAGGAAGCAATTGCAACAAACGCCAAGATCAAGGGGGGGGGGGAAGCAGCAACAACAATAATGTGACTTCAGTGTTGGGGGTTGCTGCTAGTGGCACAGGGCCGTACGCAATGCCGCATGCGGACAGACGCGTACCGGCGAGGGGGAAGGACAGGGAAGCCGTGTTACTCTTCCCAGTTCCAGTGGTAACGAAACAAGCATATTATAACAAGAAACGAAGTTGTTTTATTTATTTATTATGTGCCAGTGTTATTATTATTATATATATATATATATATATTTTTTGGTTTCCTTGTCCCTCTTCTTTCTCTGTTTTCGGCAACCTCTCCCTTTCTCACCGCTGATCGTGTCGGTGTGAAAAACGGGGAGAAGTCACCCAACGAGATTCAAAGATAAATTATGTTTGTTTGGTGGTGTGTGACTTCTCGACAACATCGAGTTTGCATCTGCAGTCTGCTCTATGTTTTACCCTCACAACTATCACGTGCGGGCGCCCTCGAAGCCGCTCCTTGACAGTACTGCCACCACAACCTACACACACAAGCACATAATGTTCTTTATTTATTTATTTATTTCTTTCTTTCTTTCTTTTACCTGTCGTGTGGGTTACTGGAGTTGATTGTGAGCTACGCCCCACTCTTCCTCCCCGTATTAGGATGGATATGTCAATCACTGTACAGCTTGTCTTTGCACCGACCGGGTGCCAATTTCCGGTGGAAGTGAAACACCCGCGATCCTCCCCTGTTTTTACCAGTTCCTCGTTGGCATCGTCGTCACCGGGGAGCTTTTCTCAGTCGTCAAAGATATTTGTCTCCGATATTGTGTCATGTGTCAACAGTTGCAAGGTTGCCTCACCACTCAGTGGGGATACGGAGAGAAATGTGAAGATTTACGTCGAGTTGTTTGACTACACCACGCTGCGGCCTCTTTTAACCAATGAGCCAGTGGTAGACGGGCAAAAGCTGCTGCTATTTGTGCCGGCTCTTGTGGCTGATTCGCTGGCCGAGCAGCTGCTCCATCAGTGGGGTCAAACCGCCCCCGGTGACCAAGGCATTCATACAGACGAGAAAGAGCGCTGGAAGAACCTGCGGCAAGCGATTTTGGCGCTTAATGCCCCTCAAAAACTTCATCAGGAGCTCATGGAAAAGGAGATGGAAGACTGCGTTCAACTTCTTGAATTCGCCACTACTCAGTTAAATGCGGCGAAGGAAAATATACCTCATGTGTTAGCGGGCATGAAAGACATGAGGTTGTTTTATGACCCTGAAGTGCCACTAACATCCCTTGCAGAACGAAAGCACCTTGATGCTGCGGTGCGGACGGGGGAAAAAAAACTACAAGAGGCGGCGACTCTTCTTGAAAGTGTGCAAGCCATGGTCCCTGCCGTTATTGAGGCCATCAACGCCGAAGCGCAAGTCAGTGAGAATGTTGAAAAAACACCAGCGTGGAAAACATTTTTGCCATCGACCATGGATGGACGTGAGGAGGTGGCCGTTACGACATTAATGTATGAAGTTGACCGCAAGGTCCAGGTGGTGCTTGGCATTGTGGAGAACATAGTCAAACTCACGAAGCAATTGAAACGGTGTCGACACTACGCTTCAGCCGTTCTGAACCATGTGGTGGAGCAACACAATAAATTGTGCCTCCTTCCGCAGGGAATGGAGGCTGCTAAAGAAGTGGTGCATCGCCGCATTATTTTACGACGCGCTATCCGTCGCATGTTGGTACCTTTGGAGGTGGAGTACCATGCGACAGAGCGTATTATTCACAAATTTACAGAGAACTGGAGTCAATTGCTACCAGATAACCTCTACAGGGCCGTATCAACCCCTTTGCCACCTTTGTATCCTCCAGATGACTTTATTGCAAACGACATGGACCGTCTTTTTCTTGATGTTGAAGATGATGAAACAGAGAGACTGTTGAACGCCATTAACGCGTCGTCTTCATCGAAAGGTCAATGTAATCAAATGACTGAAAGGAGTTTGAAGGAGGCAGAGGAGAAACTGCAACGGTGTGAAACAGTGTTGGAGAATGCGCAGAAGGAAAATACGGAACTTGAGGAGTTGAAGTGAATGAAGGTCTCCTCGGTATCCACCGCACAGGCCCCGTTGAAAAGAGAACAGGCGGTATAGGATACATAGAATGGGGATGTAGAAGCGTGCAGCCCTACGGTGCTGCCTGGAATAAGTACAGACGTGTGTGTGTGCGTGTTTCTTCTTTCCTCATTTGCGTTTGTGCACGCGTTTTTTTTTTTTTGTGTGTGTGTTTTACTCGTATTTTGTTGAATGCAGTAGGGTGATAGTATTCTTCTCTCTCTACCCCGTCCCTCCCACCCTTTTGTTTTGTTTTGCATGTTCATAGTTCATTCTTGGGGTGCGGGGACGAGACTTGAATTGCTGCTTTTGTTTCATTTCTGCTCGCTTGTGGTTGCTGTTCTTTGGGCGTGGTGGATAAAGTGGGAAAAACTGACCTTTGCGCCATATTATTGCTGCAGTGTTTTGTTGTGTTTTTTATTTATTTTGCGTCTGCGTCTGCGGGGGGTATATTTTGCCCGTTGGCCTCGGACCATCTTTGCGACTGCTATTTGTCATCACCAACGGCGGGAATATTTTCCTCGACCTCCGCACGGAAGGGGAGACGCGGCTATTCTCCCCCAATTTTGCCTTCACAATGCCTTGCCGCGAGGCACACGCTTCGAGGGCCCAGCCCTCCAACACAGCTTTGTCCTTCCTACACGGAACGCGGGGTAAAGATGCTGAAAGCACCTCCCTCCCTCTTGTCAGTGTTTGGTGGTTATGAGCACCACGGAGTTGCCTTGGACTATCTCTCCCTCTCCCCCATATATACATATACACGATATATATATATATGTAATGATATTGAGTGAATAGTCATTTACATGTGGCCGTAAAGACAACACGTAGTGAAATACAAAATGACTATTTTTTTTCTCATTTTTCTGACGTAAATGAAAAGGTTGGACACATACCATTTTCGTTTTGTGTGTGTGTGTTGTTTTTTTTTTTTTTAGAATAGGGAGGAGCAGGGTGTGTGTTTATTAGGCGGTTTATTGTTACTGTTGTGTGTGGGTGAGGGCGAAATGGACGACAGCAGGAGGAAAAGGGAGTTGGGGAAGGAGAGGGGAAGAGACAAGCTACTTATGGTGCCTCCACTGTTTGCCATCAACGTCTGCATTGTATCACCCTCCTTTGACGCGGCCGCGATCCCGCTCTCGTGGTCCTTGTGCCCTTCAGAAGGCCATGCCGGCATGCGGTGGGAAAAGGAGCGATCGTACCGACTCGTGGGCCTCGAGGAGAGGGTGCTGCATCGCGGCTACGGCTACCCACACTGCACAGTAGCGCAGCTTAGCATCCGACCTTCTGATTTGGACGCGCTACGAAGTGTGGTGCGGGAAATTTGGGTTACCATGAAGGAATCGATGGAACGACTAGATGCAACACTGAAGTTGGCTGCACTGGAGAATGGGCCTGTGTTCGCCACAACTGCAGATGGGACTGAGGTGCGTCTTCCCAGCATCAAAATTGTGTGTTCGGAGACCCTCCTTGCGTTGCATGAAAACATTGTTCGTGCTATTCGCCCCTTTCATGTGCCACCCACCACGCTAGAGGTCGGGAAGGCCGCTTTTCATCCCTCATTTCCTACTGATAACGCCGTAACAGTGGAGTGGCTGAAAAAATACCTCTCGGAGCACTCCCTCGAAGCGTACAATCCACACGTCACTCTCGGGGCATCCACGGTGAAGTCGTTGGCCTCCTCCTCCTTTTTCAAACCCACCGCCGTGCCGTGGAGAAACTGCCGTCTCGTCGTTAGCCGAATGGGTAATTATTGCTCATGTTTTGAGGTTTATGATTGATATGAGGGTGAAACGTGCAGAGACATTTTGTTGTGCGGGCTTGGAAGCAGCTCGGGTGCGGCAGCATCTGCTGCGATGGAGCCCTTGAGAAGTATATGACTAGACGACGGGTCTTGCTCCGTCGTTGAGGAGCGTATGACTCACATTGGCGGTGGTAGCGCAATTACGCGATGTTTTGGCGGGAATGGGACATGTGTGGGTATCATCTAGCCGTACAACAGTGTCACGAAGGAGGGAAAAACATTCAAAAAAAAAAAAAGGGGGGGGGGGAAGCCAAGTGTGAGTTGCCTACTGCGCAATTCCGCGGGCGCATCTATAATTACATCGCAAAATCGCGTTCAAATGTGTGTTGCCCCCTTTTTTTTGTTGTTGTTGGTTTGTTTGTTTCCTCTACGGCTGTCTTTGTTGCTCCTCCATTATCCCGTTACCGGTGCCTGCTGCGGTGTGGGATATTATTATTTTTTGATTCTTGTGCATATACCCATGTGTGCGCATATGGCTGATGGAAGGGGCATAAAAAAACAAGTTGGGAACCAACAATTTTTTGGGCGTGTGCGTGTGTAGAATAAATCCGCGAAAATGCCGACAGCTGCAAGCATTGTTTCAGCGATGGCCACCATTGCAACTATCGGCATGGTTGGCTCCCCAGTTGTCACGGTGAGAAAAATGGAACACCAGCGCTCTGTGGGAATTATGACGCCAACCTTCTTCTGTGCACAGTTGGTGAACTGCGTAATGTGGTCCATTTATGGCGTCTTGCGCTCTTCTTTGGCCATTGTTGTTTGCGGTGTTGTTGGGAACGCCGTCGCAACGTACTGCCTACTTGTTTTCCTCGCCGTTGCTCGTCTAGAGGAGAAGTCAGGGCACCGCCTCGCAAGTACGACGTACAAAAAGTCCTTGTTGAGTGTCACGTTCGCCCTGTGTGCTATTGCCGGTGTTTCCGCCCTAATTGTGGTCCTCGCGGCCATTAGCCCTCACAGTGCTGCGGTCGTAAATGGCCTGCTGGGAGCATGCACCAGCGTTTATATGCTCGGCTCCCCCCTCGCCCTTGCAGGTGCTATCGTCAAGAACAAGAACGCGGAAGGATTGGCCCCCATAACCATGGGGTTTGGGTTGGCCAACGCTTCGCTTTGGGTGCTGTCAGGGGCGTTGGTGGGTGACTTCTTTATTGTAGTACCAAATGTTTTGGGAGCACTCGCGTGCTGTCTTCAGTTCGCACTTTTATTCAGGTACGGGAGGCGCGCTAGCGAAGCAGTCGCCGTGAAAACGGCCATCGCACCGCTGCCTTTTACAGAGTGCTGAATATATCGAAACCACAAACCGTTTGCTTCCAACTTCCTCACTACTATCGATGGGGGGCTGCTTGGCTTGCGTGCCGTTTTTGTTTATGTTTTTGCTGGCGTGATTTTTCCTGCCGCTTGATCGTTTTTTCCCCCCGTTTTTTTCCGCCACCATGGGGCCCGGGCGCGCTTATGCCAGGGGGAGGCGCTATGCCACCGCGAGACCCGTGTGCTTCCAAATCCGCGTCAGCATTCGGTGGTCGAGACCGCGCGCGGCCCGAGAATGTTTTCCACACCCTTCGTTGCGAGGGCGGTGAAGCTGCTGTTCTCCCTCATCCCGTTGCGGGACGCGCGCGCCGCTCCGCATCCCACCCGGCGCGGGGCGGCGTGCCTCACAACCAGGCCGGAATCGTCTGAATTGCAGTTGCGCCCGGAGGCCGGCAGAGTTGGCAGCGTTCCCGTGCGCGGAGCAGCCCCGCATTTGGCCAGCTGCAGACTGGCAGCC